GAAGGACGATAATCTGGTCGGCATGTGTAATAGTTGACAACCGGTGGCTAAAAATGAAAAACAGATTAGCAAGGTCGCAGACTGGAAAGGTGATGATAGGTGGCATAACATACGCAATGATTAAGAGAGTGCGATCTTGACCGAGGCTTCCACCACGGATGAGTTTTGCTTGGATTTGTTGCTCAGTCTCGCTGTCCAGAGCGGACGTTGCTTCATCAAGCATAATGATTTTGGGGTTCTTTAGAATCGTGCGTGCGATGGCGACACGCTGTTTCTCACCACCGCTCAAACGCGTGCCACGATCACCAACTTTCGTGTCATAGCCGTTGACAAATGAGAGGATTCGATCGTGGATGCTCGCGGCCCGGCAAGCTTCGTAGACCTCTTCATCAGACACGCCAGGGTTCGCATACTTCAGGTTGTACATGATCGTTTCGTTGAAAAGTATGGTATCTTGAGGAACAACACCAATATGACGCCGAACGGAGTCAATAGTAAGGTCTTTAACATCGTGGCCATCGATTTCGATGGTACCGTCGTCGCAATTGTAGTAACGGAACATGAGACGGAATATTGTTGATTTACCGCCGCCAGATTCACCAACAAATGCAGTCGTTGTTCCTGGTGAGCAAACAAGAGAGAGATTATGTAGGGCGGTCCGCTCTTGAAGATAGGAGAACTGCACGTTTGACCAACGAATGTGGCCGCGGCATTCAGTAAGTGGCTTCACATCGGGCAAATCGACGACCGTCGGTTGGATTTTGAAAAGTTCCAAAAGACGTTCTCCTGAAATCATAGCCTGTTGAACGGTTCGATAAAATGAGCCGAAAAATTGGAGTGGCCCTTGAAGCTGGCCTAGGTAAGTGATCATGACAACAAAATCACCGATAGATCTCATGCCTTGTGTGACCTCGACAGCAGCAACCATAAGCATGATTAGAATGCCACACATGAAGACAAGTGCTTGGCAGATGTTCATGTTGTTCATTCCCCATGTCACTTTTGCTTCAGCAGCTTGGAAACTGCGGATGGCCTTCCGGTAGCGGTTGAATTCAAAGGCCTCCGCGTTGAAATATTTAACCGTTTCGTAGCTCATGATCGAGTCGTTCTTCACGGCCTCCTCTTCTCTGTCAGCATTCACCATGTCACGTCGTAAGTCGGCACGGGTAGAAGCCATTTTCACGGTCATGTGAAGGTAGAACACCGTGATAACAGCCGCAATGGTCGCGTAGATAGCCCCAAACCGAAGCAGGAAGTAAATGACTGCGACCAAAAGATCGATAAGCATAGGAAACACCTGAAAGGTAACCTGCTCCAGAAAAGAGTTGATGGCGGCGCCTTTGTTGAGCGCAGAAAGCACTTCACCGGTGCGTTTGCCGAGGTGGAAGTCCAGGGAAAGCGAGTGAACATGCTCGAATGCTGCCGTGGTAAGTGCCAAGTATGAATACTGGGAAACCGGGATCCAAAGTAGAGCACGGGCCGATCCGAGCACACCAGACTGCCCTTGCAAAACCTTGTAAAAGATGAAGATCAAAATCTCAATCCAAGGCAACCCTGTGCCGGCTTCGAAGGCATCGGTAATGTGACCAATTTGATTAGGAACCAAGAAGTTCACAATCCGCTGAACAACAAGGATCAGGAAGCACACGACGACGACAAGCTTCAGCTTTGGTGAGTCCCTAGGCCAGAGGTATGGAAAGAACAACGAATAACTTGTCAAGTATTCCCACCAGGTCTTGTGTGGAAGCTTTCGAGGTCGGTAGAACGCGGTCTCTTCAGCCTCATTGGGGCGAGCGTGGCCGTCTGATGCTGAATCGGTTACCGGCGCGTTGCTCTCGGTCAGTTCTGGTGTCGAGCCGTTGGCAGATCCGTTGACTGAGCCGGCAGATTTCCCTTTCGTCGCCCCGTTAACGTACTTAGCAGAGCCGTTCTCAACGTCGTTTCCCGAGCCGTGAGCAGTGCCGTTTGTTGCACGAGAACGAGTGGTATTGTATGATACGCTCTCCGCGCTCCCATTTCTCAAAAGCGGCGTCGACTCGTCCGTATGATCAACCTCAGTCGCTGGCGGTAAGTTGTCATCTTCCACCTTTTCCCGGACGGCGTTTCGCGAATAGTTGATAGAAATATTAACACCAAGAAGGAAAGCAAGGACGAACAACCGAAAACCTCCGATCGAAATGTCGACGTAGTCCCATTTATCAGGTCCGTATGCGACTGTCCATACATCGAGAACAATGCTGCGTAGGACTTGGTGGTACCCTCTCAGGCGAATGATATTAAACGTAAATATGGTAACCTCGACAGCGAGTGTGGTGGCCCAGAAAATAATGACAGGTTGATTCGGTATCAGGTCGCCTTCGACAAGGTATATTAATGCGTAAAGGTGCATAAAAAGGCCAGAAATATAGTAAACCTATAAATGGAAAAGAAGTCAGCTCCAAGACCGAAATAAGTCGTAAATTATAGCCTCGCGCATCTGGTTACGCAAAGACAGGGGATTGCGTAGCAAGATGGCTTGCACTTGTTCGGAAACATGGACTGAGAAGAGGCAAACATACAGATGTCTCTTCACCGCACCACCAACCAAACTTGATCTCGGGGTTCTTGGTTGCGTACACAGCGTGCAAGACCACGCTGGCAAAGTTTGCAACAAACGAGAGGACAAAGAAGCCATATCCATATCCATAGACGCGCTTGGCTGTTGTATTGATTTCAGGAGTGGGTGTGAAGGTGACAGTTCCAGACTCTTGCGAACGTCGACGAGTAAGTGGAAGAGGGCGGCCACCAGGGCCGGTTGTTACAGGCTGGACAAGTTGTGCGGCACGACGTGAATCGAAAATGCTGTAGAGAGCAATGAGAATAACAAAGACTACGAGGAGAAAAACCCCGTACCAAAGCTCAATGCCATATACGATGGCCTCCGGCCAAGACCGGGCCGTAGACGGGGCCATGGTATCGTAAAGTCGGCGCGCTGGGGTAAAGAGACCGACTGGCACGTTGTGATAGATCTCCGGGATCTAGATGAGAAGGTAAACTGTTAGCTTATACACGACGCAACAGCTCGCCTAATGTAAAGGCTGCGAGGCGAAGGTAAAAGTGTGGGTATATCGTGTTCTAACCTCGCCCAGTAGATCCTCGTCGAGGTGCTCGTTGGTATTAAGAAAGAGTCGGAGACGATGCCGGACAGTGCATTGTCACGCAGCCCTCCGAACGGTGACGGTAAGGGACGCGGAGAGACAAGTGCAGACGCAAAAGCGAGAGTACCGGGAGACGAGGGGCCAAGGTGAGGGAGGAGGGAGGAGGGCGGAGAGGAAGGAGACGAGAAACACGAGGACGGAGTGAAGCGATTGGAAGTCTGCACGAGGCAAGACGAAGTGCAAGAAGGCGGAAAACAAACGGCAAAAGAATAGAAATATAAAAAGGCGGCAAGCACCTTTACCACGAGACTGTCTCTCCTACAGCTCTTGTCGGTCCAGGAGTGGCAATAGGTGGGACGACACCTGGAAGTAAAGACGCGAGGTTAGAAGAGACAAAGGTATTCAGAAAAATCCATCGAGTTCTCGCTCCCTCTCCTCAGGAATTGGCTTGCTGGTCGACTGGGTGGGGCAGGTGACGGACCAGTAGTGGCAAAACCCACTTTCTTTAAAAAGACCTTGTCTAGGCCTAGCTCGTGTAAACAATGTGATTTAGCACGATGGAGACCGAGACAGCAGGGCAAGACACCAGACCCTTTTGAAGCGCGGCTTTACGGTCTAGGTCCTAAGCTAGCGCGGCCTTGTGGAAAGAACGTTGAGGCACTGCTGGGCTGTGTGTGTGTGTGTGTGTGTGTGTGTTGTGTTTGTGTGTGTATTTGCGTATATTGCAAAGTAATCCAACGAAGACGACGTTTATGCAGCGCAAAGCGGAGGTAATGCCTGCAGGTCCTACACGTCGAACAAGGCTGGCTCAACTGGCAGAATATTGTGTTAGAATCTAATCCGATAGGTACTTTGCGCAGTGAAGTGGGCTCATAGGTACGGTTTAGGGGGGAAATAGCGAACTCGTTCACCGTGCGAGAGAAAACAATTGAGAAAGTGAGCTTACAATAGAAATATTGGAAGCCGGGTTGAGGAGAATGGAGAGCAAATAAACGGTAGACGACGCGACGAGGTCATGTAGTTAGGAGCAGCAATAAAGGTTCTGACCGACGTGGGGCCTTATAATGCGAGAGATCCTCACGATACGCTCGAGACGAAGCGGTAGACGTTTTGGCTAAAGGGTGTGATCGTGAAATACTCAACGTGTCGACTTCAGACTGAGAAGGTAAAAAGAAGAATGAAAAGAAAAGAAAAAAAAACTGTGTAGGAGGAGGGAGAAGCAAAATCTGAGGCAGAGACGGAAGGTAGAGAAAAACACGGTGAGCAAGGAGAGAAGAGGAGGGGTGAGGTCAAATGAGGCAAGAGAGGAAGGAGCGGAATAAAATAAGAAAAGGAAAGTGCGACCGCGAAGCAGACTAATAGGAACGAAGCCAGTCAAAAAGGCAAGAACGACCAGCATGCTTCAAATCAAAATGAAACTCGGCCTGAGGCTCCCAAATGTCCAGAAATAATCACCCGTTGGGGTTGTTTTTCTTCACTTTGAGTGCACGCCGAACGGTCGCCAACAGAGAATACTGTTCTACCCAATGAACCAACATGAATGTATGCAGGGAGAATTGTTTGTGGGATGACGAGAGGCGAGAGGGAAATGTACAGAAAGAAATAGGTTAAAAAAAGCAAATACTTGCAGCGCAGAGCATTTCATGGCACAAATCACACAAAACATCAGCTGCCGAGCCAAAAATCGATAAAATAGAATGAACGAATCGATTAAAAGTTATTTCCTTGACGTTTCATGGTTGGTCTTTTGTTCGCTTTATTTCTCCAGCTTTCCGTAACGGGCTGGGCGATATATACGGACACTCTAGCCCGACGCACACGCATACGCAGCACCTGTCACACGAATCATATAAAAGTCCAGACATGAAGATTAAAGACACGGGTCTAGACAATGCCAGCCGCCGCCGCTACCCATCCCCGTCGGTTGGACAGACTGTGTGCAATGGGCAAGGGAAAGGGAAAGGGAAAGGGATTTCGACCAATGAGGGTCCAGGCGGCCCGAAGGGCGCCACGGGAAGCAGATTGGTCGGGACGAAGGATGCTCTGCAAAGCTTTGCTGACCTTGGATGTCCTTTGTACCTTGCCGGTGTATGCACATAGACGGCCGCTCGTACAAATCTACTATGCCTTATGACAGACGTGCCCCAGGTCAGGAGACAGGAGGGCATGCGAGGGGTGCTGCGTATGGGAAGAGCGTTGCATGTACAATGTCTGCCTTGAGTGGGGTGCGTGGGAGGCAAGGCCGGGAAGGAGAGAAGGGGGCCTCAAGGTCAGCATGTATTCTGTAAGGGCGGCTAGAGCGACAAAGAACAAAAAGGGCATTTTCATCGAAGGAGCGGTGGAACGAGAAAACGAGGAAAGAACGACCGGGAGCGTGGACGTCGCCGGGGAAGGACAGAAGATGCATGCATGTGGACAGGGGTGGGCGGTCATGTTTGGGGGTCTCTCTTGCCATCACTCTCCGGGCAATTGCCCGTTTTGCTCGCCGTTGTGTCTGTTGGCTGGCACTTTCCTCCACCGAGTGCTCTGCACGGAGTGTGGTATGCATTACGACGTATTACTCCGTACATGGTGGCCGCCCAATGCAGATGTTGTGTGTTTGGGGGCTCCTTTCCAAAAATCTGTACGTTTTGCACGTCGTCATCTGTACTTCGCCCCTATGGCGCTCATACCTAGTCCTAGAAAAAAAAAAAAGAAGAAGAAAAAAAACATCAACCCCGATCCCGATAGCCTCACTGACTGCTTCATCAAGCATCTGTGATGGCACACTGGCGCACACTCATATTCATATTCGCATTCATACAAGCGGAATCCCACACAAGTCTAGTTTCGGCATCGAAAACACCAACTTGCTACGACGAATGCCCTAGACGACTGACGTAACGGCTCCCTGGCCTTAATTACGTTTTTACTCATTGGAAACCGGACGGACCCAGCCTCTTCATGTCTTGCCGGGCTCTACGGGCATTGGCGTGGGTGCTCCCGTGTTCTAGGCGCCTACAAGTCGGCTGATGGCGGAGTTGTTTGTTTCGTACGCCTGCGCCCGATCCGCAGTCTGAACTGTCCTCTCGTTCGGCCACGGTTGCCGCTTGGCCTGCACAGTAGGTCGCTTTTTATCCGAGCACTGAGACGAGAAGGCAGAAGCCAAGGGAACGAAAACGCTCGACAGACTAGACGACGGGGAAGACGAGGAAGACGAGTATGTACCATGGTACCGCTTCCGCAGCTCACATCATGTCATAGCTACCGCAAGCCCAGTACGCGACAAGGCGAGCGGCATTCGAGTGTTGCTCCAACTGGCAGATGTGGGAGTGCTTGTTGGCTGCTGACGAGCCAGGACTGCCAGGCCGACTGACCCTCCACCCCTCCCTCACTCACCCCCGCGGACCCAACCCAGCCAAACGGGAATCATCCTGCCCACTGGAAGTGGGCTCGTCAACTGCATGAGTGTGCTTCCACCCCCCTGCAACCTGCAACCCCATCACCGTCGCAGGCGGTGAGCGGAAGGAGTGATGCAGTGTCTTGTCTTTCGTCTCTACAAAAACGGAAATGAAATGAACGAGCTGAGACGTTTCTCGTCAACCACTAGAGCCAGCAGCGGTAGATGACGTGAGTACCGAGAACAAGCCAAGAAACAAGTGCACAAAAGACACGAAATGATGCGGCGCGATGGACTGGACAGCTACAAATTGGCCCGGGCCAGGCCATCCCAAAGGGCTAGAAAGGCGCCGTGGTGAGCCAATGCCAGTGGCTTGGCCTGACCCGGCTGTGTGCCGTTCGTCGGGTGGTCTAGGCCAGAAAAGCCCCCTCCCGGCCCTTGCCTGGTCCCGAGGGACCATCGTCCCTTTTATCCCTACATAAACTGGCTCGCGGTTTTGGGCATGGGAGCGGTGCTAACGCACCTTCGGCTTCGTCCTCGTTCCTTCTCCTCTCAGCCCCCTGTCCCTTCGCCGTCATTTCCACAACCCTTCCATCTCAGCTACAGAATACGCAACAGGTTCGGTACGTACCAGCACACCCACACACCGTAACCACAAAGTATCTATGCTTCGACTCCTGTTCGAAGTTTCGTACTTACTTTGTCGACTCGCTTGACACTTGTGTCTCCTCCTCGCCCCGTCTGTGTTTCTTTTCTACTTCTCATTTACAATTCTTTGTCCTTTTGTTACCTTCTGCATTTGCACTCTCAGCCTTCCAGCAATCTATTACTCATGAAACGACTGCGGAGCGTGCCTCCAACGATGGGGTGACATGCAAGTCCCTCATGCCATGTGCTGGAAAATTTCCTCAAACAGGGTCCCTTCGCGGACTCGCTACACCTTTGACGTACATCCAGCCCGCACGTTCTACCACTCTCCACCAGACATACTATGCCGCCACATGTCGGCCAGACCAACCGCGTCCCACCGCAGGCTCACTTGCCGCTTTGCATAGCTTGTCAGCCAATTGTGGTTGGCAAAATCCATATATATCACGCTCTGTGATTTTGGCCAAGAAGCCTACATTTTGCTTCTTCTGGTAATTCCCCTGACTCGTGCACTTTCCCCGTCACCGTGCACCATCTCTAGGACGATGTCGACCTACGATAAGAGGTGGTTATGTGCATAAATCGGTGAGAAAATAAGAGAGGAAAACAAGACCAAAAAGTGACAGAGGCGAAGGTGGAAGGCCAAAGAGTGCCGTGTAGCGGGAGACTAAAGCGACCGGTGTAAGACAGAACATGCCCAAGTGGAGATCCCGCTTTTGAATCAGAAACGGGGACAAAGTCGCTTGGCGATCCTCGTATTGTCGTTGCATCGTCGTCCAAAATCATGCAATTTCTGCTCCCTAGGGCATGAACGCAATTGTTTTGAGCAAAGATAGCAAAGAACCGAGAAGCGGTGGTGGAGACAAAGAAACGAAACGTTTAAGATGAAAAATAAAGGCCATGATCAGAAGCACAAAAAACCGAACAAATAAAGGATGCAAAGGCACAATGAGAAAGTTTCGTACAGAGGTCAACGGGTAGGAATGGGAGCACGGGAGCAGGACGTTACACTGTTAGTTTCGTCATATAATCAAGAAAAAGCACGCGCAGTGCGGGACGAAGCGAACACCCCTACCGCCTTGACTTGCCTCACCGGCGGTGGGGTGCAAGTGAGGGATGCATCTCCTTATTTGACTAGCAACGTGGCACAAGTCTTTTGGCACGCGGAAGCCCAATATCTGGTCCGCCTTCAACTCCCTTTTTTCTGTCTCTCTCATTAATTTTTTTTTTTTTTTTTTCGTTTCTAACCTCTCTCTCCCTCCCAGATTTATCTTTCACTTTCCCTAGCTAAAGACCCTAACCAATCACTCGGGGCCCACATGCAAAACGCTTGCTTACAGATGAATTGCACCGCATGTTCTGTTCACTTGCAACCAATGACGAATTCATACGTTAAGGGCCTCTGCACTCTAATACATGTTGTATTTCGTGTTCCACAGCAAGATGTGGGAGGGGGGCTCTCCGTGCCAGAAAAAGTCAGGTCAGGCCGTGTGCTTGGTCGCTTTGGCATCCGCGCACTTGATTTTTCTGTCATATTCTCTTGCCGTGTTATTTTCTCCGGTGTATTTTTGTCCCACTCCGCACACGCTTAGAGCCGGTGTGATTCTTCGGGTCCATGTGCAGATGTGCCGCAGCCATCGACGAATGGCCTCCCCCATCCCTTTTTGATGCCTGAGAACAGCTTCCCTTCTTCCCCTGCTGTCCTCCCGCTTTTTACGTTTTCGGCTCCGCCCCCCGATATGCCAGTACGATTCTCTCTCCGTTTCGTATTGTCCCCTTCCTGTTTGTTTTCTACTCCAGCTCTATCCGGCCCATAATCTTCTTCTGGTACTATTTTTGGGCCTACGGACATGACCAGGATGATGCTCATCTCTCCTATTCTTTTATGATGTTGATATTAACGAAATTCGATCCATAGCCGCCGACGTCGGCACGGTCGGCATGTTGCTTTACGTCCGCTCATATCCATAAAACTAGTATCGGATGCTGCTAAGCCATCTACATTCATATTACGGATCATTATTATCTTGCCTTGACCAGGTCGTCTTTTTGGGCCCCTAGCACGCGCCCCTCCTTTTACAGTGTCTTTAGATCTCATTGAAGGTGTCGGCTAGATGTCGAAAGACTTCTCCTTATATGCCTTTATTTGTTACTTTCATGGTGCAGACATGTCTCAGCAGTCAATAAGGCTGATGGTTATTCGTGTTTTCAAATCACCTTTGATTTGGCGCCCCTCATCACACCAACCCCCCTCCTTACATCATGCTTCGTTGGGTATCTCCTCGTACAAGAGGCGGTGTGTCCCGACCGATAACTTTTAGGAATTTTTAGGAAGTCCTACGACAACACTCCTTTGTAGTAAAGGTGATGCACAAAGGCACAATGAAAAGAAGACGGTCTATACGGAGTGGCTCATAACACCGCCGAAACTGTGTGGTATCGACGAAGACGAGGTTCTTTTGAAGTTGTTATTGCCGACAGGATGGAACCTCGTCATGGCTTCATTATGCCGGTCCCTCGACTTAGCTGACACCGTAATCATGTGTATTTTCACGATGGCTCCATTCGACTTACGGAGAGCACGGGGTGGGCATGATCAAAATACCCCGTAACACGAAAATGAAGTTTTTACGGTGCCTCCTTGGCAAAGTACTCTCTTTCGGAGTTTGTCGTTTGGTTATTTACAGAGAATATAGGTTCTTGTGCTAGGGAACAGCGCCAACCGGCGTTTATGAATGTGTCTATCTTTCAGCCCAACAGTTGCTTGTATTGGGCGTTTTATAGAGGCTGCAGAGATATACAGATTTTTCTACTTGGCAGCCACCTAAAGAGACCTGTCTTGCATATTGGGCCAAGAAAATATCGTGTCCCGAGCAGAATCTGGTCATTGGCTCTACTCTTTCTTCCATTTACAGACTGCAGTATCTTTAGCCTCGCACAGGCCAGTTTTGTGTAACCAAGTGCTCGTATTTCATCACTGTCACTTTGATGCCCATTCTGCCCCTCCCCTTCCCCTCTTACGAGGATATTTCATTTCTGAGACACGTTTCTCATACTTCCGTCGGATCCGTTATATAGGTGTCATGTGGTACATCACTGCAGTCACTTACAGTCAATACGGGGAGGCAGTGGTTCTAGAACGTGCTGGATAAATGAACATTCCCACATTTAGAAAGTGATCGCTCACATATGACGAAACAAAGTTGGAACGGTTATTAGGAGAATACGAAGATCGCACGCCGTCATATTTTGTGATACAAAGTAATATAAATGAGAAAATGGGTTGAGACAATGCATGCTTTCCCATAGGATGTCACGAACTCGAGTAACACACGGCATGGACCGTGCTCCTCAACGTTCAATTTCATATACACTAGGTTGTCAGTACGGTTTTACTTCTTTGGGATAATCCAACAAGGAAAGAAAATAGCTAGTTCGTTTATATGGTGCTTAGTTTACTTCACGGACATACATAATCAAATAAATTAATGTTTTATATTTAAATCATTTCCTTTTCTAATTATGACGTACCGAATGCAAACCTACCAAAGAAAAACAAAAACACACAGCACAAGACCGACTCACACATAACGCAAAGCCCATAAAACCCCGTAAGAAAGATATCCCAGTCCAACAAAAAATACAATCGAACATCTCAGCATAAAGGTATTGAGTTTCATCGATACATGCACTACTGAGGAACATACGGATTTCTGAGCACTCACGGCACTGAAGGACATGAAAGATAAAGCCAACCGTGTCGGTGTCCCGTAGACAGATCCAGTGTGTTCACTTGGAATGTTGCACGTCCAGTGGGGGTCAAACATGCCTGCAGTGTCAATGCATGGCAATCGAGACGTTGTGCATCATGAGCGCGCCTTCACTAATACACACGCCCGTCGACCATGCCGAAATATTAATACTCGCTGGTGATGGGTACGAATCTGTAATCAAAGCGACGGCGAAGCTAGGATGCCTGGTACGCCGAGATCCTCGTCCGGTTGAACACTTTTGGCAGTCCTCTTGTTCCCATGGAATGCTGGCACGTTGGTACGTTGGTACGTTGGCAAGTTGGCAAGTTGGCATGTTGGAGAGCGGGTGCAATGTTGCCGTTTTGAGTAACCCATCACGGAAGAGATGATCGATTGTGCTATGCATATGGGTATAGAGGTGGTAGTACGGAAGTGTGTGGTGCAACCACGGCGACTGCAGTCCATTCTTATCACGTATCCCGTGTAAGGGTAAATGACTGCCCTGCTGCCCGGCCGTAGCTCTCTCCGTTGCCCACGTGTTCTGATGGCCCGGGAAGGAGTGTGAGATAGTACTTGCATATCGTTTAGAGTGTCAGGAGAGCACACTGTCGGCACTGAGAGATGCGGCGAAGTACTAGCCTTTGTTTTGAATATAGCACTACGGAAGGTCTTGCTCCCCAGATCTGCTCTAAGCTTAGTCGATATTACCGCGCATTGCCATGTGACAATCTTTTGCCATCTCTCCTTGCCTGCCAAACGAGATTTTATTCAGATTTGTCTGGGATTGCTATCCAACGCTGATGGGAATATGCTCGATTGGGCAATGGAGAGCTTGCGAGCCTTGAAACTTGACCGTAAGAAACCAAGCTGTCGAGAAGCCCAGATTGAGAGGTAAAAGGCTGCATGCTCTCATGCCCCTGTACCCAAGCAAGAATGCAAGAATATGGCAAAAAAACGTTCTAGTGGGTTGGTCTCGGAGGGGATCGAAACCTCGACTTTCGTATTGGATTTCTCGTTGAAGAGACTTCGGTACGGTGTGCTAACCAACTGCACCACTGAAACTCGAACCGCATGGACTCCAGCCCAGCCAGTTGAAGGTTTTCTTTGCCAGTGCCCATTCCGGATCAAGCCCGTTTCGGCCTCGGCGATCGTGCCAGAAGGTGCTCTTTCTGTGCGTGCCCTTTCAGCCACAAAGGCGACAGAAGAATGGCTCGGGAGGTTTGTGGAGTCGACGGGCCGACTTGGCCCCGTATTGCGACTTTCTGCACTTTCAAAGTGACCGAAAGACGGCAGGACACTGGAGATCAATGTCAGCTGGCACCCTCGGGGCCGCCCTGTCAAACGGTATGGCCGCTTGGCCGTTTATTGCCAGCATCCGAACAATATGAGCAAGCCATTCAACCACGCACTTGCACGGGATGGAAAAAAAAAACTAAGCCTCCGGCTTTTGTTCATTACCGACTGCCCGGAATGTTAGCGAAAATAGGCCATCTCGGCCATGTGATGTAAAGCACGTTGCGGCTGAGAACGGTGCTCTACACAACGACTTTGAGAAAAAGATCGAATTGGAAGTCGGACTTGCAAGATTCCTTCTCTTTTTACTTTTCTCTGGGGTACGAAAAAACACAACGCTGTCGATTCCCGTATCTGGCCGAGATAATTAGCAGGTTACAGACTTGTCAGCCGCGTCCCATCATGTTAGGGAATGAATGGAAGGGAAGAGGCTGAGCTGAAATCTAGGTTGAAAAAATGCCCTATCGGCTCAGCTGGAGCTGCAGGAATACCGACCGAGCCTTTGCGACCCGGAGACGACACAGGAGGGCTCGGCATGGCAAAGGCCGAGCAGCCTTTTAAGAAAATGTCGCGATGCCCTGACAATGTTAAAAGGTTGAGTGGTCGTCTCCAAGAACCTTGATTTTCGGGGTTGAATTCTATCTTAACTTCCTTTTGTTGAGCGTGTCCGCTTTTTGGATGGCACTATGTGCTATTCATCCCACATACGGCGAACTAGATTCATTGTAGCTCCCATCGCGATGACCGCATTGGGAAATGGAAATCAAGGCAAGGAATGGAGGCTGTTGCTTGTAGTTGGTGCGGTGTTGAAATGGACCGTACATATGTTGTACAGACCAACCAAATAACCTAGGCCAGTCCACTTCAGCCCAGCCCCCTTTTCGTGCGACTTGCTGGCAGTGTGGCAACGTGCGTGGGCTGCTGTTGCTATTATTAGCGACGGCTGTGGCAAAGAAACGCGGGCTCACCCTAGACAAAGGAAACGCCAACAGGCCAGATGCTGAAAGAAAGAAAGGCTGTACCTTGAAAGTGACAAAGTCGGAAATTGGGACGAACTTGCGCACTCCGTATTTCGTAAAAAACAAACATCGGAGGGGATTTGGAAAGGGATGCGACGATTTGGACGCCATGGCTCGTCTTACGGCAGAGGAAGGAATCCCAAACAGGGCAGGTTGTCTGCATGCATTGCGCGTTTGCTGTCTTGCCAGTTGCTCTTTCCTTGTTTAAGATAGCATTTCGCACGGAGTGTGGAGTATTGCACCGTAAATATCGTATTTGATGGATATGCATGGCCAAAACCACAGTCTCACCTGCCAAGCAAGACTCTCACAACAGACGGTCTTCAGATGAGGCTTTGACTTGCTGAGCTCACTGAATGGACATTTCGCAGAAGTGATAACGAAATACTCCGTGATGACTGACAGATTGGCAGCACAAGCTAGCCGCCAACGGTGGACGGCCAGGCATTCTGGCGGTTTCTCCTCCTTTTGTGCCCCTTTGTTGCAAAGAACCAACAGGCGACTTGCTGAAGGACTAAATTGCTGGATGTGTCAATGCCATGCCCCTGTCGCTTTCCTTGTAGAACGTTTGTTTCGTTTCATTTCGTTTTGTTTGCTTTTGTTTGCTTTTGTTTGCAGATATCTTACGTGTGCTGGTGGAGAAAGAACGAACTTTTGGAATCCCCTCCTTCCCTCGGTCGCTCTGTGCAAAAGTACTCCGCTTGAAAAACGTCGTACGGAGTACATTCGTACATGCTCTTCTTACGCACGTCTGAAAGCCTCCTGGGCTGCTCTTTCCTTCCCTGATTGGGGGAAGCACCCCTGGGCTTGCATGCCGAGCGCTACCGCACCGGGAAAGAGCTACCGCCACTATTGGCAGGAAACACGACTGTCAACCAAACAAAACGGTTGAAAAAAGGAGTTGTTGGAGAAATCAGCAGCACAGCCCCCTCTGGCGGGGTCCCCTGCGTCGCCGGCGGACGAACTTGCCATGCAAGAGTGCGAGGGAAGGAGTGAAGACAGGGAGTGGACGCACTTGAAATGACGCCCAGAGCATCTGATGAGCCTGGTGAAGCGCCCCACTAGATACGACAGAGCCAAAATAAAACCCTCACCAATCTGACTACGCGAAGCTTAGGTCACAGATTACTCGCAGAGGCAGGGCTTCAATCGATTCCTCGCCGTCGCGCATGCCTCTGAGCCCCCGGTTGCTGTTCCATCCTTCTTGCCGCGGGGAACAGCTTCTAAGCCGCAAAGGTAGCTAGCTGGCCGAAATCAGACCGGAAACTGGGCAAGTCCAGGCAAACAGCCAGCGAGCCAGCCTTTTGACGCGGCCGCGAGAAGAGAAAGGAGCGACGTTGCAGGAAAAGCACCAAACCAGTCAGAACCGAACCCGCATCGCTCGACAAACACAGCCCTGCGCGCCCCGTCTACCGTCGACAATCGAGCATCGAGCGTTTCTTGGCTTCACTCTCCCGTTTTCCCGTTCGACACATCCGCAACGACTACAGCGCAATCTCCCGCCCCCCATCGCCATCTTGCGCTTGTTTCGTTTCCCGTCTACGTTTCGACTGCTGCGCGCGCAGTTCGCCATCTTTCGCAGCCTGTTGTTGTAGTCTCTCGTTCTCGCTCTGGCATTGTTTTGCGCAGCTCCAGCGCCAAACACAGAGCCAGCGTCGACACAGTCTCCCAGGTATTCTCACCGTCAGCTGCCTCGCTGCTGTCGTCCGATCGACCTCCTGTCCTTCGCGCCACTTTGGCTTTTGTCCCGTGGTCTTTTCTCCGGGGGAGCTTCTGAATCTTCGCTCCCGTTTTTGCGCCTTGCTCTCCGGCCCCCCCCCCTAAGCCTCTTTGCGCCGTTCTATTGCTTATTCTTGTTCATCTTCGCGAGCTTCGTTTCGTATCCCCAAATTCGTTTCGTTTCTTACTTCTTTGCCTTTCTCAAACGAAGCTCTCTCTCTCTCCTTCCCTTGTTCTCTGGGACAGATTTTGTTCCAATACCCCGTCCCTTTTCTCTGCACAGTTGATCTTCTGGGACGGCTTATTACCCACGCGCTTGTCCTGGCCATTGTCCTCTTGTCGACTTGTGTCTCGTTGTTTCTGACGCGGGCGTTAACCCACCCCCTCCCTACCAAAATCAGCCACACCCCTCTTTTTTCGTCCCTAATCCGCTCCCGGACTACATAATAATGCCTTCCTTTCTCTCTGGCAGACAAAGCAGTCGTTCTCAGCAACATCAACATCAACAGCAGCAGCAGCAGCAGCAGCAAGAGACGCCTCCGCCTGCCCTGCTCCAGCGACAGCAGCAACAGCAGCATCCTTTTGGTGACACGCCCGGATCTGGACCTGGACCCGGCCGTGGCCCCGGCGAAGACCCTGGGCCTGCTACAGGTAATTACGTCTTTGTTCTTCTTTTTTTCCGAGCAGGATGATGTTCTTTCTCCTCCTCTAGCACCCAGCCACACTCTCGGGCCCTGAAGCTGACGCGCACTGTATAGCCGCATCCTTCTCAAACACTGACCTGCCTGCATTTGACTCTTTGCAAAAAACGCTCGGGAGACGCCAGTCGCAGCTCTTGGACGAGCAACAGCAGCAGTTGTTTTCATCGCAGCAACAGCAACGCATGCAACAGGCACAGCAGCAGCTGCAGCACCAGCAAAACCAGCAAAACCAGCAACAGTACCCGCCACCATTGGCTCCTGGATTGACAAAGTCCAGTAGCACCAAGCTTCCGTCCAGCGTGGCCTCTCCTGCCGGCAACACGTCGACGGCTGGGTTTGACGGACAACAACCGCATACACCGCTCCTTACGAAACAGACAAATCTGGAATACCTCGAGCAGGTGTCACGGTCACAGTCGCAGCGCTACCCAACGCAGGTGGGACCTTTGCAGACACATCAGCATTACTCGTCCTCGTCTCTTGGCGCTGCGTCGGTTGATGACTTGAGCAGAACACTTCCCATCTCTTCGCCGCTTGCTGGACAGCCTCCGCAGTTTCCACTGAAGGACCAGTACCAGCAGCAGGTTCAGCAGCAGCAACAGCAACGAGTTCAGAGCCCACCACAGCCACCGCCACCCGCCCAAGAAACACGCCGGACCACTCGCAAGTTATTTAAGAATTTCCTTGGAGGTGGCTCAGGCTCCAATCGTGGTTCAGGGCCGGATTCAAACGGGCGCTCGCAGCTCCAGCAACAGCCACCGCCACCGTCGTTGCCTCAGCCTGGACCGTCGCCTGCTGCACAAAACGTCCACAACAACTCAGCAGGTCTTGCTCGAAGACCGTCCAAGAGACTGAGCCAGCAGCCGCCTTCTTTGCGTACTGGACCTTCGCAGCTGTCTCTCGACCCGTCTCAGCAGGGCTGGCCACTCCAAGGGCAGCAGCAGCAGCAGCATTTTATCGGGGCGGATTCGGCTGGAAACCCAGGCAACACGCAGCCGTCACCGCTCCAGGGGATCGGAGAATTTGCTGGTGACAACCAGGGAGGAGGCTATCCAGTTTCGGACAACGATCAGCCGCCACCGCCGTCGATCCGCCGCGTGCATACTGGTGAGCCTGACCAGCAGGAAACGTCTCCTTACGGTCCGGACGATATTGGCACACAAAGCAACAGCCACGCTGCGCAGCTCGCACAAGGCAGATATATCCAGCAACTGGCTCCTGGAGTGTCGCCGTCGGAACAGGTCGTTTTGCAACAACAGGGTGGAAACACCGCCTTCGGACAGGGCCAATTTGACCCACAGCAACAACAACCATACCCCGCCCTTCAGTACCAACAGCCACAGGCGATCTCCACCAACACCCCCCACCAGGGTTTCATTGGTCACTTAAGCACAACTGGTCTTCCGCAGCAGCAGCACTCTCTTCTGCAACAGCACACACCCAACCCAGAGACAATCTCGCAAGTGTCCCACGAATCTCCCGTTGCTGAAGCCGACCAGCTGGCCGCTCAAACATCGTCGTCTGCCGGTAACACCTATTCGTCTCAGGATCCGCACCGTCAGATTCCACTGGGCCAGACAGCCGCACTTCAAGACTTAGCGCCAACCCCGCCCCCACCTGCTCAGCATCAACAGCAGCCACCGGCCCAGCTTCAAGCCGTTCAGGCAGCGCAACAACAAGGCCAGGCACTGCAAAACCCGGCATCCGGCCAGGAACTGCTTCAGGAAGAGGACACCATGCCACCTCCACCTGGTGGCCCACCGCCCAACCGTCGGTCGCAAGACACCAATGATCGGTCCGGTCAACCTTCAGGCGGTCAGCCGCCGCCGTACCGCCACAACCAAGGTGCACTATCGGCCTCAGGCCCACCAGGGAGCTTGAGCCCTCTGCCTCCTTTGCCAGCGGGGTCCAGCGGTACTTCTGGTGGCCCGACTCAAGGCTACCGGGGCGCTAGCGACCAACGGCAGTACGAAGGTGCTTCTACTGATGGCCGTACCAGCCCACAGCCTTCTACCGGGGACCGCGACGCGCCCGTTGCTGACTCCGAAAAGGCTCTCAAGGAACTTGGTAAGTTTGTCTACACTGGTATATTGACACTGGTTGTGAGACCAATTTTGTATGCTGCGGTCCTAACACAATATGTTCTTTCGTACAGCGTTGAAGTACAAGAATGTGAAGCGCTTGTATTTTGAGGGCAAGAGCCAAATTGACCAGCTCACGGGACAGATTGAGCACCTGCAGAATGCTATTGCCAATCAGCGTATGTCTCAATCGCGTACCGCTCTGGACGACAGCGAGTATGCTACACGCTTCAACCGCCTCAATGGTGCTATCACCAACTTGTCATTCAACATCCGCAAGGACTGGGAGGGACTACCGAAATGGATCGAGCCCTATGCCAGCCCTGAGGCGCTGAAGACAGGGAAGCAGGAAATGACGGCTGTTGGCCGTGCTATCATTTGCCGATGGGTTGTTGAATGCGTTTTCAACCGGTGCTTCCACCCTGGTCTCGACCCTGAACTGAGCCACCAGCTGAAGGAGATTGAACGAAACATCCGTGGTTCGTCGAAGAAGTTTGGCAGCCAGGAGGAGTTCGATGCCCTGACGTACAAGATTATCAGCTGGCGGATGGCCACCCTCGAGGGTCTACAGGACACACTGTCAAGGCCGGAGAGCAACGAAAACCGGGTCAAGTTTACTCAGCAAGCAGTTGCCGACCTGACTTCGTACTTATACCAGTACATGTCGGAAACCCCTCCCCCTGGCGTCGACGGCAGTGCGAGCATGATTGTGGAGCTGGCGGTGGGTATTGCATCCAACCTGCCTATGGAGAGTCGCGATGTAGTCGTCTCGTTGCCGATGCCGCTCGACTACGTTTCGCCACAGTGGATGGATGTTGAGAAACAAGGCCTGCCACCGCTCAACACAGGCGCGGACGGCGATGCTGAACAGGACGAAGACGATGCAGCAACAGACGACGGTGTTGCTGGAAACGACGATGAGCACGTTGGGGCATCGCGAAGTGGTAAGCATTTATGACCTGATAAAACAGAACCAGTGCCCATTGTACCCCACCTGTACTAACACGAAACAGCACACCCTTCCAACGATATGCCAAAGGTGCGCTTTGCAGGCTTTGTTGCCGTCGAAGTCCGCGGTCGCCAAGTGCTAGCAAAGGCCTCTGTGTGGACATTGTAGAGGAACACTTACAACAAAGGTCGGAGAACGGTAGCCCAGCAGGGTTGAATGATACCATGTACTTCTTTTTACTTCTCGATGTATTCGGCGATCTATCGGCATTTGCATCCTATTTAACAAAATTTTGGTGGTTTGCTTTGGAGGGTTGACTGTACCATGCGAAATTGTGAATTCATTTTGCTACAGTTATGCGTTTACGAGCAGTCGCAAGACAAGCTTTTGGTAGCGTCTGGGAACAATGAGTATATGATGCTTGTCAGCTCACCGCCTTTAGTGGCGTTGTGAGCCATTCTGCCACTTTTTCTAACTACTCGGCTTGTTACAGCGCTCATAAGCCCGTATCATCCAGTGACAAAATTTCATAGTTACGAAAACCAATATTATGTCGAAAGTGACTTTATACGAAATATATTTTATCCAAGCTTATAACTCCCATCAATTATGCCGGCCCCAAGACCTGCTCACTTGGAGCCTTCCGAGCTAGGAACGAAGGAATAGTGAGTCTTCCTATATGCCAGTCACTTTACTCGCCTTTTATGTATATGTGACCCGGTAAATGCATACGAACAAAAGGCAACTGACAACATCCCCCTTGTTACCAGCTGGGACAACTTGTATGCTACTGAGCTGGCCAACCATGAGAGCAACCCCGAAGACACAGGCACGGTTTGGTTCGATGACGCAGACGCCGAGGCCAAAATGGTCCAATTCTTGGCCGAGCTGGACGACGAAGGCAACCTGAACGCCCGGACCATTCTGGATTTGGGTTGCGGCAACGGTTCTCTGTTGCGTGCGGTCCGTGACGAGATTTTTGCCGATGGGGTGCCAGACGAGGACACCGAAGTAAGACTGCTCGGTGTAGACTACAGTGAAGCCAGCGTCTCGTTGGCACGATCTGTGGTTGGCGAGGTAGCCGATGCAGAGACGGGTGCGGGTGCGGACGGTTTGCCCATCTCGTTCGCCGTCTGGGACATGCTGCAGGGATCGGCCTCTGAGCTCGTCCAAGACGGCCAGGCCGCGGCCTGTTGGGACCTGGTCTTGGACAAGGGCACCTTTGACGCCATCAGCCTCGGGAACACAACTCGGGACAATGACGACGGCGGCGCCGGCGAGAGTCCCAGTGTCGAGGTCCAGTACCGCACCCAGGTACTGAACCTCCTGCGGCCGGGTGGCCGGTTTCTGATTACGAGCTGCAACTGGACCGAAACGGAGCTCTGTGCATGGATGGAGGACGAGGAAGAGCGCGAGCGGGCCGCACAGAACGGCGGCGCATGGCTGGTCAAGGCAGGCCGTGTGGCGTACCCGAGCTTCCAGTTTGGAGGCGTGCAGGGTCAGACGGTATGTACGGTATGCTTTGAGAAGCGTGTCGCACCAGTGTCATGAGACGAGAGATTGGAAGACTGGGCGAGCAGGGTGTAGATGATATAATAATGACTTCAATGATACACATCACATATCACTTTTTGGATCCCAATAGTAACAAGAAAAAGCATTGATATATTTTGTTAAAAAGGCTATGAACCCCCTCCATTGCCGCCACCTTCGGAAAAAACAAAAACTGAAAGCAAACAATCAAACAAAAGGTAGCGTCACGTACGGAACAACACACCAATGACATTGGCCAAATTATTCTGGGTCACCGTACTCCTCTTTCTCTGCTGCTACTGTCGGTGGTGCGTCCGCTGCAACGCCCTTTTCATCTACAAAGTCGTCTCGGCCCATGTCCTTGAGCTGTGCTCGCCCCTCTTCGGTCGTGGCGTCGATGATTTCGTCCTCAAGACTTAGAATACCAGCCTATACGAGTGTTAGCAATCGACAAAAAACACGCAGTTTACAAAAAAAAAATTATGATTGTAATTGGGACAAGTCTTACCTCGCCAAAGTCACCCACAAGGGCCTCGGCTTCATCCACCTTCATGCGCCCCAGCACCTCATTGACCTTGTCGAGGCTACCCGACTCGAGGGCCTTGCGCATGTCCGGTGCAAAGCCGTCAAAGATCTGCCGCGCCTTGGCCACCTCGGGATCGTCCGAGTCAGCTGGCGGGACACGGATGTTGATGACCGTGCCCGGCTCCACCGCATGCAGCTGAATCTGCTCTATACCCTCGGTTGATGTGCCTGCGGCCTGTTGCGCTTTGATCTCCTTGACGCGCGTCATAATCTTGACGTACGTGTCCTGTACGTCGCCATAGAACAGATCGTGCGCCTTGTGGTCGCGCGTCTCGATGCGCTTGAAGAAGAGCATCACGCCGTCACGGCCAAGGGTGCGGCAGTACTCGAGCAGCTTAGCCTGGTGCACACAGCGCCGTGCTGTGTCCTGCTTACCCTCCATCTCTGCATCAAAGGCCAGCATCAGGATACCCTCCTCGTGCTTCTCGGCCAGGACCTGCGGATTGGCCGCTATAAAGGACCTGCTCTCGAGGTGGTTGTTGGGCGCAATGCCCGCAAACTTGCGTGCTAGGGCAGTCGGCTCGCTCGGGTCGTCGTTATCACCGTCGTCGTTGCCCGGCTTGGAAGCAGATGACGAGGAAGCTTCCGTAGTGTCTGCGCTCTTGTAGCCAGGATTCAGAAGCTCGGGCTTCCCACTGCCGCCTCCGCTCGTGTTGGCGCCTTCGCTCGGCGCCGACTTGTTCACGTGCGAGCTATCAAAGCCCGTGTGGAAGGTGTCACTCGTAATCTTGCGCGACTCCTCCTTCTCCAGCTCGCCGAGCTTGTCAATCAGCTGGCGCTGCAGGTCGGCCACCTTGTTCTGGTGCTCCTCAATCTCCGCCACCATGGCATCGTACCGCGCTGCGCCTTCGACCTTCTTCTCTTCCAGTGCCTTGTTGACCTGGTCCAGCAGCGCCGCCATCATTTGCGTGTACGTGGTGGTCTGGTCCACGTTGGAGTGCACGTCGGCCGGCGGCTGTGGCGGTTTGTCGTCTTCGGGCTTGAGTGCGGCGGCGTCGGACATGACGGCACGGAACGCAACCTCGCCCGCCGACTTTGCGGTCGGTGAGGACCCTGCCGCCTTGGCCTCGTCACCATGCGCTCTGAGTGCCTTCAAGAGGCTGCTGATGCGCTTCGTGAGCCCGTCGTTGACCTGCCGTTCGTACTTGAGCGTCTCGATCTGGTGTCGCCGTTGCTGGCGTTCCTGGTGGATCTGGCTCTGTTTGGCGCGGATAAAAGACTTCTTGTCGACGTTGGGGTGGACTTCGATGTCAGAGTCATCGCTGAGCTCGAGGTTGTCCTGCAGAAGAAAAGAGCTCAGTATAATGCAGGGAGGGTTTGTTTGTTCTGTGTATTGGCAACCAAATGCTTATCTTGGGAAGGATACATACCCATTTGCTGTAATCGACAGGCATGATGGGCCTTGAGTGTGAGGATAGGGGTTATGAAATCGGTTGTTGCACTCGCCAAAGGGATCGAAGGGTTCCTGTAGGGTTGATGAAGGGTGGAAGTTGGTGGGCGCGGACTTCAATAATTGATTTGAGGTTTCTTGTGAGGTTTCCTTGAAGTTCCGTTCTGAACAGCGCAAAGTGGTGGACAGTTCAGAAGGTGGAAAGTGCTAGAAGGTGGGGTAGTAGATGATGGCACACCACTACCAAAATAAGACGCGCCTGCAGGCTTATCGATAATAGCTGTTTCGCACCTGCCTGTCCAGTGCATAATACTTGTGCCCTTACGACGTATTCCGTACTGATGTCAAGTATGCTCCTTCCTAAAAACACTCTGCATTTCTTTTGTAACAAAAATTATTCAGTCGTGAATTTCGCTAGCAATAATATATAATTGTATCGTACATCTTACTTTCCCTCCATTCCCGTAGGCGTAGGCAAGGCATGATGTAGGAACGCGTTCGTGCACTACCCTTGCTTGGCAATGGTCTATTTCAAAGGACTCGCTTCGTGTTGTACAATCGCTTCGCCTGTTCCCCTCGAGTGGTCCTTAATTCATCGTCTTCAAGAATCCGTCCAGGTCGAAGCTTTCCTCGTACTGCCGGTTGTCCCACAGCTCGTCGAGTTCCTCCAGCCACGCTGCCTTCTTGCCGGGCTGCCGCACATCGCCCGTCTCAATGTCCACCATGTCCTCTTCCCGACCCGAAGCACCGGCGGCACCGGCGGCAGATTTATCCGTCAAGAGGTTGGGTCCGGATTCGTCTAGATTGAACAAGTCGAGGATTTCATTGGTGTCCATGCTGGCTAAGCCTGCATTCTGCTGGTTGACAACCGTGGACGCGACGTCGATCTTGAACCGCTGCAAACTCAGAATCTTCTCTTCGAGCGTGCCGCGCGTGATGAGCCGGTACACGTTGACAACCTTCTTCTGGCCGATGCGATGCGCGCGGTCCATGGCCTGCAGATCGCGCTGCGGGTTCCAGTCGTGCTCGACAAAGATGACCGTGTCCGCACCTGTCAGGTTAAGGCCTAGTCCGCCGACACTTGTCGTCAGGAGCAGCACATCGTAGGATGGGTCGCTGTTGAAACGGTTGACAATATCCTGCCGCTTGTTGGCCTCTACGGAACCATCCAGGCGCAGGTACGACACAGATGGTAGCATGTTCTTTAGCACGGTGTTTTGCACCATATCGAGCATCTCCTTCATCTGGCAGAAGACGAGAGCACGGTGCGGCTTGATTGGCTGGTACAGTGGGTCGTTGCTGTCGCCATCGCCCTCAACACCAATACCACAGTCGACAAGCAGATCGCGGAGCGCCGTGAGCTTGGGTGCGTGGTTGGGATCCTCGACGCTCGAACCCTGGCGCTCCAGCAGCCGCTGTGTTTCGTCGTACATCCGGTGGCCGGGCCGCATGACGAGCGCCGGCGAGTTGCAGAGCTTGCGCATGTACTGGAGAGCTTGGAAGATATGCTGCTTGGACTCCTTGTCATCGCGGCCCGCTTCTTCTGTGATCTTCTTGGCTTCGCGTTTGGTGAAGTCGTCAAAGAGCTTCTTTTGCAGCTCGCTGAGATCGCAGTAGTAGTTCTGCAGGATCTTGGGTGGCAGGTCCTCGAGAACCTCCTCCTTGAGTCGCCGCAACAAGAAGGGAAGTACTTGCTTGTGCAGGGCTTCAATGGCCAGCGCACCAGCTTCCTGCTCTTTTGAAGAGGCTTTGCTGAACCGACTCGCGGCAATGGGCTTGGCGAAGCGGTCCATGAACACCTTCTCGGCACCCAAGAATCCGGGCATGAGGAAGTCGAACAGAGACCACAGCTCCAAGACGTTATTCTGGATGGGCGTGCCAGTGAGAATCAGGCGATGGTTGCTGGCAAGCTTCTTGACGGCCATACTGATTTTTGTGCGTGGGTTCTTGATCAAATGGCCCTCATCGAGGATGACGTAGTTCCAACTGTGATTCTCCAGCACCTCGATATCGTTGCGGCAAACATCGTACGAGGTAATCACGATATCGGTCTTGCCAAGGCTGTCCTTGAGGGCCTTGCGTTCGACGGGCGAGCCAATATACGCGGCAACAGAGAGGAACGGCGCATAGGTTCTAATTTCCTGCGCCCAATGGCCCGAGAGCGTGGGCGGGCACACCACCAATGACGGCATGCGCCGGACATCAGGTGCACCGGTCTTCTCAAATTCTTCGGCACGCTGGTGGTGGTCACTCGCTACGATGCAGATGGTCTGCAACGTCTTGCCAAGGCCCATGTCGTCACACAAAATGCCATGTAGATGGTACTTATTCAAGAAGTGCAGCCAGTTGACGCCCTCCTGTTGGTACGACCGCAATTCGGCCTTGATGGCCACAGGGATGGTGAACGACTCGACCTTCTTCGGATCCAGGAGCTGGGAGATGAATGTCCGCTCACGATCACGACCGGCCAACAGTTCCTTGGAGAGACCTGGAGGGTCAGGAATACCAGCTTCGAGGGGCACCAGTTTGACAAGGGTGGCGAATGATGTCGTAGAAATGAGCCGGATCTCATTGTCAGAGTCGCTCATGCGGCCTAGAACAGGTACAATTAAAAAGATAACGTATGGTAGGATGCCATCGCCCATAACGGCGATGAGGTGGTAGATCGCCTCGATGGCGCCTTGCCGGAAGTGCAAGTCGACGGGGTTGTTGATCGAAGGCAAGACGTTTTGAACCAGGGCCGTCATACCCTCGACAGTGATGACGCTGCAGACAGTCGCCATGCACTTTGCGGCCATGTATCGGAAGACGGACAGTTCCGAATGCAGAGCTTTGATGACGAGGGGCACCATCTCCATGACAAAGGGGCGGATGGCAGGATCAAACGTCGGCGTCATGGTGCGGATGACCGACATTGCGTCTACAATCTCCTGGCCAAAGGCCTGCTCGGGATCGCGGGCTTCTGCTGGCAGCTCGCCGGTGAACGCCCGCCGCAGGGGCTCTTCCATGAAGGTCCGCAGGCTGGGAACCTTTTCGAGTATGTTTGGCCCGAAAATCTTTGACAGGATCTCCAGCGCCTCCTTGGCGCCACGGCGTGTCACGCGGGCAGCCTTGGCCTCTTTGGCCCATTTGGCGGCATCGGCGTGGTCAACACGGTCTTCCTCCTTGTGCATAGAGAGAATCGTGTTGAGCTTGGTAGCGTGGACGGGGAACTCGGGCGTTTCGGCCACTTCGACACAGGAAAACTTGACTAGATTCGAGACGACTTTGTCGGCTGGGCCTCGCCGGCCTAATTCAGTAAAGAGCTGCACGAGGTGGGCGATCGTGTCGGCCGAGCGGCTCTGCAGGTCGTGGTTCTCCTCGGTCTTGATACTGTCCATGACGGCTTTGATGAGGGGGCTCGGCTTCTTCGGCAAGACCTTCATAGCAACAAGGCCGCAGGCAGCGGCAGCTCGGATGCGGATATCACGAGCTTCTTTGGCAGCTTTGGCATCCGCAATGGCAGCAGACGCGCTCTCACGGGCTTCAGCTAGGTGTTGGCTGGCAATCAGTCGTTGGCCAGGTGCCATGATTCTCTTGAGTTTGTCAAAATCGTCGCCGATCACCTTTTCAGCGTGAAGAATAGAGAATGCCTCAGGTCCAGCAGCAGGCTCGCCTTGGCATAACGGTGCAAGGCGAGGCAGGCGCGTTTCTGATACCTTTCCGTGATCGCGGAACATGTGGATAAGCTGCGAGCACTGCGAACGGACACGCTGGATGAAGCTGACGAGGTCGTTGTAGTGTGCCGGACGCTCAGTCTCCACAATCTTCTGCAGGGGCTCGACAAGGCGCTTGCTGTCAGCAGGCTCCTTGCAATCCTTTGCGTACTCTTCGATCACAGTACAGGCAATCAGCTGGGTCGTTGAGTGAGCCGACGTTAGTGCGGGTAGCACGCTGGCATCGTACATTTCGACTTCGCTGGCCGGCACAAGGGACATGATCAAACCCATTGCGGTGGCGGCCGCGATGCGTGTGCGCACCATAGTTTCGATGCCAACAACGTCGACGTCACCTTGCACTATGGCGCCGTCCACATCATGGGAGCTCGATGTCACCGGCACATCGTCCACGCGCGTCGACTTACGGCGACGCTTGGCCGTTCGCTCGCCAGCTTCTGGAGGCGACGACTTGCGAGCTGTAGAGGTAGATGCGACCCAGCTGCTGGGGGCTGCATACATACTACCCGAGGGCTTCATAAACAGCTCGGGCCGCATTGGAATGGGGTTGCGAGAGATCCCGATCGGGTGCAGTGTGAGTTGCATCATGGCATCGACGTGTGGCTTAAATTCGCTTGCCAAGACAGCCGGATTCGTCGCGGCTAGGCAGCGCACGAGGGCAGACCAAAGGTCCAGTGTCATCGCTAGAGTCTCCTTGTCCCGCTCCACGATGATGTTCTGGAACACCAGGCGCAGAATGCGGCCATTCAACCAGCCGTGCTTTGTGTCATCGTCGCTGATCTGGACGAAGGTTATGAGCGCTTTGAGAACAGCCAGACGCACAGAAGTAATGGTGTGTCTGAGGAAAGGGTAGAGGCGCGGCACAAGCAGTGTAAAGGACCGTTCTTCGTCCTGCGCAGCTGACGCCTTCATGGCGTCCAAAACTTGAGGGAAACCGCACAAAATTGCGAGAAGATCCATGATCTTGCCGGTGGAGGCGCTCAGATCGTCGCCAAGACTGGACAGACTCTCCCACACAATATTAATTAATGAGTCGAGAGACCCGGGCCGCAGGCTAACGAACTCCTTCGCCATAGGTATCAAGGTGGCCGCGCTGACTGAGCGGACGTCGTCGTCGTGATCAGCAAGGCCTTTCATAACGGCGCGAATGACGCCGTCAATCATCTCACCATCCTGGAGGAGGAGGTCCTTCCGCACGGCGACGACATAACGCAGGCCGACCATGCCACCATGGCAGACGGCCCAAACATTGCGCTCGAGCTCTAGGTCCTCTTGGATGACAAGACGATAGAGAATGCGGTATATCGCTTGTATGGACTCGGGCGGCACGTGAAAGAGGACGGCACCGAGAGTTTGGCCGACAGTTTCGCGGATCGGTGCCACCGAGGTGTCGGAGCTGAAATCGGTGAAGCGGTCGAGCATCAGGACACAGCAAAGGCGACAGGCCAGATCGTCGAGCCATTTGCGATTGTTGCTGTTGTTTTCACTGCGGGTCTTGCCCTTTTCACGGCCAGCGCCGCTGCCGTGCACACGAATGACTTCCCGCAGACCCATGGCCGCGCCGTGGCGCGCCTCCCAGTGGGGATCGAAGAGATCCACCTTGAGGAAATCGCACAGCCGCTCGTAGGGCCATTCCAGGCCTTCCAACTTTTCGTCCATCTCAATCTCCGACTTGATGGGGACGACGGGGCCCTTGAACTCGGAGACGACCTTGGAATCCTCGTCGACGTCCGACGGGCGCTCGAGGTTGAAGTAGTCGTTGACCTTGTCGCCTTTTTTGACGTCGCCGTCGCCAAAGGGCGTTTCGTCGCCAAAACCTTCGGATCCGTTCGTGGCACTCCGGCGGATAGACAAGTCGCCAAATCCGCTCTTGCCGTGGGCGGCCTTTTGCAACTCGCGCTTCCGCTTGCGTTTTAAAACGTTGAGCTGCCGTGAACTGAGGCCAGGTTCATCGGACTGCTGACCAGCACCGTTGCCATTGGCTGATGTGCCGTTGGCCTCGCTGCCTTCGCGCTGCGTCGAGCCATTGGTCCCGGCTTGGTGCCGGGGTGTCGGGGGCACGTTCTCGTCGCTCACGGCGCTTTTTGCAGTACTTAACGTTTCCAACGGGACCGGGATCTCATCATCATCAAACACGCGACCGAGCAAGCCTAAGCGGCCGTTGAGAGTCTTTTTTTGGTGTATTAGACGTTCTTGCGGGTCTAGTGCGGCCAGTGCCAGATCGACATTGCCGCCCCGAAGCAGTTCCCGCCCATACTTGAGAACCGCGTTGACGTTGAGCGTCCGCAGATCATAGAGCTCGTCTTGCTCAAAAGAAAAGTCTTTGAATTCTTCTCTTTTTACATCCACGACACCGTCTTTGGCCTCTCCGTCCAGTGAGCCCTCTGACTTCACACCCGCGCTATCCTCCTCCTTCTTGGATTCTGCGGGGGAGCTCTCTTCGGGTCCGCCAGCATTCGGGTCAAAGGCATCTGAGTGCTCGATAATCTTGCCAAGCGCTTTGGCCGCTGTGCTTCTTGTCTCCCAGTCCTTGTGGCGGAGGTAGGGAACAACGCGGCCGATGAGATTGAACAGCTCTTCCGGGTGCTGTTTTTGCCAGTCGGCCAATTGGTTGACGGCTGTGTCCCGAATTAGGCGGGTGCTGCCCGTCTCAAGGATGCTGTGGACATGTGTTAGCAGAGCAGGTCGGAGGAAGGGTTGACTTGGTTTTTGTTTGGGTCATGGCGATTCGGTAGGAACGACACCGAGGTAGCGTGACGACATCAATGATACTTACGTGACAAGTCGATCAAGCCTAAGTTGACAAAGGTTAGCAAATTGCCCTTAACAAGAGCGTGGTTCACGTGACCTACCTTGACGCCATGTCGCTGTTTTCATGTCGAGATTATGAATTAGGCAAGAGCCAAACAAGCGCTGTGCCGCATCGACTTTTGCGGCCTGTCGCTGGTATTAGTCCTGTGGTTCTGGATGAGTCAAAACATGATCGAACTGACGTTTGTAACAGGGGGGAGATGGATAAAATAGAAAACGGCGGCAGGGGCACGTAAATATAAATAGAAAAGCGGCCCTAGCCGACCTCATGCGATTGTGAAGTGGCCGCAAGGGATGAATGATGAAAAAGAGAAGTGAAAGGGGAGCGGAAATGAATGAGGCCTCTGAGGTACATATGAGGTAGGTAGCGCGGTGGCAACAAATGTATGAAAACATGATTGATTGCGCCTGTTGAGATGAACGTGATGATGGGATGAACTTGAGCGAATCGTCCAAGGCTGGTGCCATCACGTGATAATATGATTGCGGCGATCATCGTGAAAAGGCAGTAGCGGAAGACTTGGTGACGAAAGACGCGTATAATGCATGCAACCTTGTCACCCAAGTGATTGGGATATGAACGAAATGCAGAATAGGGCGGCATGAGATGAATATCAATGAGCGATAGGAAGACTCACATAAAATCGAGATCCGCCAGGGCGCGAATCAATCGTGGGACGATGCGCTGCAAAAGAAATAGGAAAATAAAGAGCTTGCTGCAGCTGCAGCAGTGGCGGCAGCGCCCAGTGGTTATGTTGTACTTTTATTTGCTGCCGTGCCGCTGGCTGGGAAAGAGCATGCGCAGAGCACTAGCGCGTGGCGAGTGATGGATGGGTGGTGCGAGTTGGTGTGTGGCTCCTACGCGTTGCGGTGTTGTGCTACGCAGTCAGCAAAACTTGGCAGGGAAGGCGCGAGTCAACACAGCAGCAGCAAAAAAAAAAGAGTGGGCGGGCGGCGGTCTATATGACAATGCAGTATTTTTATACACGTTTTCACTGTCCCTTCCGCCCTCTACCGGCTCTAAGCTAGCAAGAGCCGGGTAGGCCGCGCACGGTCTTAGCGTCAGTTGCCTCTCCACCTCTCCACCCAAAGCTCTGACTTGGCTGGTCGTTTCGCTCGTCTTTTTCTCGCCTTCAATTTGCTCTCCACTGCCCTTTTTAAGTGTCTTTTCCCTCTTCTCGGACACTTGGCCTGAACAATACAAGACCACTCTCCACTACCAAGCAGGAGATACTGGCAGCTCACAAACATCATGGCACTCTTCGCTTCGTGCTCTTTTCATCATCAACCTGTACTAAGGTTACTTTGTCCCGTCCGGGGTTAACTGGGCCTGCGCCTTTCGATTGTTTTTCTTTTCTTTGTGCACCACTTTCTGTTTTGTGGCATTTTGTGTGCGGTCAATCATTTGCCGCTAGATGCATCTTGACACTGCAGCTTCTGAAGATCACATGGTCCGTCGCAGGCATACTTCAGCGGTTTCGCATAGCCCAATATGATCGGTGCCTACTTGTCGTTGCTGCTGCCTGAGCAAGCGCCGAGAACATGATGCCACACGATGGCTCGTGGCCGGCGTATAGAGCATCCCATCGCGGACAACCGAGAGAAGAGCAACGGCCAGGCCACAGCCTCGTAGCAACGTACTCGGCGCGCCAAAACGTGCCTGGCCAAACGAGCGCTTCGGTGTGATACATTCTGCGATGATGACGAGAACCGAAGTACTTGGCATCTTACTCACATTCCAAAAGATTTTATCTGATATGTTGCTGATCTCGAGAAAGGCGTAATACTACAGTCGACATGAGAGACGCAACTGTCATGTCGAGTTAACGACTATTTGAATTGGATTAATGCCATTGTAAGATACAACGTATGGAGTACAACGTATATATATAAATATAAGGTGTTGTTCCGTACGAGGATTACAACCGCTTGCATGCCAGACAAGTATCTTTGCGCTGAGCTCGGCCGTAGTCACCTGCCAGGACTCGTTAAAACTGTCCGTCTGCGTCAAGCCATACCATCCCGCCTGTGCCTCAGAGCCTCAAGGGCAAACCCGACCGATCCGATCTTAGCCAGCCCGAGGCACGAATACGGCGTCGATTTGCAGCACTGGCCTGGCTAGACCGTGCGAAACAGCACATCAAGGGACGGCTCCCGAAAATAAAATAAAATATACCCCTTGCAACGAGCTTCGTCCCCGGACAGCTCAGAAGTCCCCGCCCATCACAATTTGCTCCGATTCGCACTGTTGTCGCTGATCCTCCACAACTCGAGGTCTTTTTTGCTGTATCCGAACGTGAAACCATTGTGCATTTTGCAACGCAGTGTGTGTGGTTGGCTCCTTCTCGCAGCGTTCACGTTAACTTTCGCACTTTCCAATTCGCATTTTGCTCGACCGCTCTTTCCTTTCACTCGTTAGGTCTCATCTGTTTTATGTGCCTTCTGTTTGGGCACTACAACATACAAATACGTCGTAATACTGTGGCTTTTGCAACACGCTTCAGGCCTACCCCTGCATCCCCTGGATCTTACGACAGCTCGCCAGACGAAAGACATCACGTGATTTAAATGAAATGGTCGCGTTTGCAAATACACCATTTGCTGTGACACTGGCACTGAAACACAAGTAAATGCCTGTTATGCCCCGCGCCGCTCGTGTCCGTGGCCCGTGCGTTTAGTCGCATCAGTTATTCCCTTTGCGCCCGCGACGCGTCGACTCCCCATTTAGCACATCACTGCGTGCGTGCTGTAGCCCACGACGCCTGCAGAATCCACAATCGCGACAACGAACGGAGCCGACTCAATTCACGGACGCGCAGTATCACCCCTCCGGTCACCGCTGACGTCGCCTTTGTCGTCCGTGCCGCTGCCCATCGCTCTGCGCAAGCTCGACATCCGACTATCCTCCCCCTATCTAACGCGCGACGCCGCTGCCCGTTGGCAGCACCTACCGCCAACATGTATATCAAGCAGCTCATTATCCAGGGCTTCAAGAGGTATGTCCTTGTCCGCGTCAACCGCGACATCGCGGGATGTATTCTGCCGTGGCCGCCCACCCTGTTGTTCTAACATGTCGCGTCTCCGTCTAGCTACAAGGACCAGACGGTCATGGAGCCCTTCTCGCCCGGCACCAACGTCATTGTCGGTCGCAACGGTTCGGGCAAGAGCAACTTCTTTGCCGCCATTCGTTTTGTTCTCGGTGACGCCTACACACAGTTGAGCCGCGAGGAGCGCCAGGCCCTCTTGCACGAGGGTTCGGGCTCTGCCGTCCTCTCCGCCTACGTGGAGATCATCTTCGACAACAGCGACAACCGTTTCCAGACGAACAATAGAGAGGTGTCGCTCCGCCGGACCATCAGCCTGCGGAAAGACGAGTATGCCGTGGACAAAAAGGTGTCGACGCGGAGCGAGGTCATGAGCATGCTCGATACGGCTGGTTTCTCGCTGAAGAACTCGTACTATATTGTCCCCCAGGGCCGTGTCACGGCCCTGACCAACATGAAGGAGTCCGATCGCCTCAAGTTGCTCAAGGAGGTCGCCGGTACCGAGAGTTACGAGGCCCGGCGTGCCGAGTCGCTCAAGATCATGAGTGAGACCGAGAACAAGAGAGCCAAGATCGACGAGCTTTTGGAGTACATCCGTTCGCGGATGAGCGAGCTCGAGGAAGAGAAGGAAGAGCTGCGCGGTTTTCAGGAGAAGGATCGTGAACGGCGGTGCCTGGAGTACGCGTTCCACCACCACCACCAGGTCGCTTTGACAGAAGCGCTAGAGGAGATTGACCGTTCGCGCCAGGACGGCGCCGACAACTCCGGCGCGAGCCAGAAGCTGTTCCTCGACGGCGAAAACGCCATTCTGCGGATCGATAGTGAGCTCCAAGAACTGCAGCGGTCCGTGGACATCCTCAACATGGATCGCCAAGAGTTTGAATCGGAATGCAGAGACATTTCTCGCAGCAAGGCCAAGGCGGAGCTCAAGGTGAAGAGCCTTGCCGACAGCCAGAACGCTGTCGACCGCGCGAGGCAGCAGCACGACGCCGAGCTCAAGGCTGTGCGCGCCGAGATTGCCGCCAAGGAGAGCCAGCTGGCGCGCATTCTCCCGGATCTCGAGAAGCGCAGAGCCGCCGAGGCTGAGGGTCGCCAGGCGCTCCAGTCCTTGGACGCCCGCCGCCAGCGCCTCCTGAACAAGCAGTCGCAAGGTGATCGCTTCAAGAACAAGTCGGAGCGTGATCGGTGGATTGACAGCCAGCTTACGGAGCTGAACAGCACCCTGGCCGCCCTGCGGGCCAACCGTGTGTCAGCTGCCGAAGAGACGGAGGAGGCGAAGCGCCTGATTCAGTCACTCGAAGCCGAGATCGAGGATCTGTGGAAGGGCATTGAGAGCTTCGGTTCCGACCGCACCGCGCTCGCCGACAAGCTGTCCAAAGCACAGGACAAAGTGCAGAAACTCGACGACGAACGGAGGGCCCTGCGCCGCGAAGACGACAAGCTCAACACACATATATCAAACGCCCGGCAGGAGAGAGACAAGGCCAGCCGCACACTCAGCAACATGATGGACAACGCAACAGCAAGGGGCCTGGCCACCATTGAGCGCATGAAGCGCGAGAAGGACATTCCAGGTGCCTATGGTATGCTGGCAGACCTGATGGAGGTCAACGAGGCGTACCGTATCCCCGCAGAGGTCATTGCTGGCAACAGCCTGTTCCATTACGTTGTCGACAACGAGGAGACGAGTACCCTCCTGTCCAATGCCCTGTACCGTCAGCAGGGTGGCCGCATCACATTTATTCCTCTTGAGCAGCTGCGCCCACGGCAGGCCAACTTCCCGCAGGGCGCCAAGGATGCTCTCCCCCTGGTCGACAAGATTCAGTTTGACAAGAAGTTTGAAAAGGCCTTCCAGCACGTGTTTGGCAGTACCGTTGTCTGTCCGACGGTGTCCGTGGCCGCTCAGTATGGCCGCAGCCATGGTGTGGACGGCATCACGCCTGAGGGCGACACGACGAAGCGCACGGGTACGATGACCGGCGGTTATGTGGACCCATCTCGGTCGCGTCTCGAAGCTATCCGTTCCATGAACAAGTGGCGCGGCGAACACGACAGCCTCGTGGCGCAAGCCGACGACGTGAAGCGCCAGATGGACCGGAAGGAGCAGGAGGTTACCAACGCCCGCGGCGAAGAGCAAAAGATTCTTCACCAGATGCGGCAGCTCGAGGAAGGCTTCGGGCCTAGTCGTGCGGAGCTCAGCGCCAAGAGAGCGCAGCTCGAGCGGGAGCGAGCGCGCCAGGATACGCTGAGCAACCGCTACGAAAACATCAACAAGAGCATGGAAGAGTACGCGACGTCGCTCGAGTCGCACGAGGCCGAGCGCAAATCCGAGTTCAAAAAGGCCCTTTCGGCGGCCGAAGAGCAGCAGCTCGACCACCTTAACAACGAGGTCCAGGCGCTGCAGCGGCAGGTGAACGAGGCGACCAGCCGGCGCCGCGAGATTGAGGGCCAGAAGCAGATTCTGGACGTTGACCTCCGCCAGAACCTTCGCATGAAGGAGGACCAGCTCACAAGCCAGGTGTTTGAGACCATGACGTCGGTGGGCGGCGACGGCAACTACGCCGAGGCGCAAAAGGAGCTCAAGAAGCTGCAGAAACGGCTCGACGAGAAGGAGACGCGGCTGCGCGAGACACTCAACGAGATGGACGAGCAGCAGGCGGAGATTAGCGATCTACAGGCGAACAAGGTCGAACTGGAGCGGAAGCAGCAGGAGATTGCGACCACCCTGGAGAAGAGCCAGAAGCGGATGGAGAAGAGCCTGCAGCGGCGGGCACTTCTGACGCAGCAGCTGGCCGAGGCCGCCAAGAACATTCGCGAGCTCGGCGTGCTTCCCGAGGAGGCGTTTGAGAAGTACGAGCGGATGGACCCGTCCAAGGTATATTTAGCCCCCTTCGTCACCCTTCTGCACTCCTCATAGAGCTTGTCCCTGTATATGATTTTTCGTAACTAACACCGACCCAGATCTCGAAACGCCTCAAGACGGTCCTCGAAGCGCTCAAGAAATACCGGCACGTCAACAAGAAGGCGTTTGAGCAGTACAACAGCTTCACCAACCAGCAGGAGCAGCTGCTCAAGCGGCGTGAAGAGCTTGATGCGTCGCAGGCCTCCATTGAGGAGCTCGTGGCGCATCTTGACCGCGTCAAGGACGAGTCTATTGAGCGGACATTCAAGCAGATCTCCAAGGAGTTTGCCACCATCTTTGAGCGGCTGGTGCCGGCCGGTCACGGCCGTTTGGTGATCCAGCGGCGAGACGGGCGGCAACAGGAGGAGAACGGCGACGATGACGACGACGAAGCGGCCGGCGGGTCGTCGGCGCTGCGGAGACAGCGCCGCAGCGTCGAAAGCTACACGGGCGTGGGCATCAGCGTGTCGTTCAACTCGAAGCACATGGACGAGCAGCAAAAGGTGCAGCAGCTGAGTGGCGGCCAGAAGAGTCTGTGCGCGCTGTGCCTGGTGTTTGCGATCCAGCAGACAGACCCCAGCCCCATGGTGGTCTTTGACGAGGTCGATGCAAACCTGGACGCGCAGTACCGCACGGCCGTGGCGAGCTTGCTGTCATCCATTTCCAAGGATGCAGGCACGCAGTTCATCTGCACGACCTTCCGACCGGAGATTGTGCAGGTGGCCGACAAGTGCTACGGTGTGACGTTTACCAATAAGACGAGCTCGATTGGGTGCGTGGCTACCGAGGAGGCGCTGAACTTTGTGGATGGTCAGAAGCAGTAAGACGGAAGGAAACGCTACAAAGGCTATTTCGTCGGTCTGGGATTTCGTTTTCGTGGGCTTCTTTTGTTGTTCTGTGGTTTATGAAAGGCGTGCTGGTCGGAAAGGACGGGATGGGAGGAGGTCTTTATTTTTCTCCGTCCACCCATGCCCCCTCTGTATTTTTTTTCTGTTTTAATTTTCTTTGCCTTCCTCTTATTTCGTTTCCAATTTCCATGCACTCATGTTCGACTTCCATCTCTTGCGTCGTGCCTGGCGGCGGGCGGTGCAGGTCCTTTCTTTTTGCTTGGGTGTGTTTCGTGTTTCCATTGGCGAGTATCATAACGTACAGAAGTGGCTTCTCGAGTGCTGGGCTTCATTGCCATTTGTGCCTGTATGTCCTGCGGACGAATATCCCACAAATCCAAGTGTAAAGCGTACTGCATGGTGTCGTGTCCTGTGCCACATATTAAGGGCAGTCTTATAACATGGGCAGCACTTATATGGTCGAAGAAAATGGTCAAGTTCAGCCTAACCAATGACGCCCAAGGACGCCCTTTGTTTACCACGTCTTTCTTCCTTCGCGCCCTCCACACGCCGGTTAATATCGTCGTCCTCCAGGCTCGCCAAAGATTTCTGTGTTTCTGCCTGGCAAGCCGTCTGTTTACAAAACAATCAGGTTCTTTTGTTCGTCTTAGCTGGCGCACCACAAGGAATGATGCCAGATCTAAGCCATCTCGTTTTATGGTCTCTAGTTTTCCACATCACAAACACATGATATTCAGCCATTTTTGCCATCTCCAGATAAAAAAGTCGTATCCAAAATCAATTATATGCTCTCACATAGCACTGACACAGCACGCAATGCAGCCTCCCTTGCAGTTCTTCCTTCTCTTACAGGCATTGCCGGTACTAAGGGCATCGGCCATCCCAGCCGACGGCAGCACCCTTGACATCCGGAGCAAGCCGCTTTCTAACGAGCCGTTTATCAGACCCGATGCAGATGCAGATGCAGATGCAAATGAAGCGGGCCGTGATGGCTGTCCGAGCGTATCAGGGACGGCAGCGGGCCTTCTTGGACGCACCCCATCGCCATCCCAATCACTTTCATCACCCGTGTCGTCATCGTCATCACCGTCATCGTCGACGTCATCAACAGGAATGGCCTGCAACAACTCGCCGTTATTGTGCGGCCGTAGCTACAGCAGCGTCACTCACCTCGGCGCTCACGACAGCGCTTTTCTTCGCGACTCACACGAGCTCAGTGCCATCGCCGGTGACCAGTTCTTCAATGCAACACTGGCACTTTCGGCCGGCGTCCGTCTGCTCCAGGCCCAGGTGCATGTTTTGAACGGCACCCTCTTTCTCTGCCACACAAGCTGTGGCCTGCTCAACGCCGGCCTTCTGGAAACATGGCTGGGCCTCATCGCCCGATGGTTGGACACCAATCCGCACGATGTCGTGACGCTGCTCCTCGTCAACAGCGACAACCAGGCGGCGGCGGTGTTTGGCCGCATTTTCCAGCAAGCCGGCCTGTCCAAATACGGCTATGCGCGCTCGGCCAGCCAACAAGGCGCCGCGGGCTGGCCGACGCTGCAAGCCATGATTGCCGCCAACACTCGTCTCGTCACGTTTATTGCCTCGATTGCGGCCGACGCAAGCTACCCGTACCTGCTCAACGAGTTTGACCACGTCTTTGAGACGCCCTACATGGTTACGAACCTCGTTCAGTTCAGCAACTGCTCGCTGGACCGTCCGCCCTCAGCAGGATCGGCGGCGGCGGCCTTGAGGCGCGGCATGCTGCCACTGCTCAACCACTTTGCCTACGCCAAGGTCAGCAGCAGCATCCAGATCCCGGACGTCAGCGACATTGACGTCACCAACAGCCCGGATACGACGGGGACTGGCGGCGGCAGCAACGGCGGTGACGGCATCTCGGGCACGCTGGGCGCGCAAGCCAACCGGTGCACAGCGCAATGGAGCGGCACGAAGCCTGCGTTTCTGCTCGTCGACTTTTTCAACCGCGGACCGGCCATCACCACGGCCGACAACCTCAACGGCCTCACGGCGGCGACGACGGTGGGCCGGACGATCACGCAGGAGATGCAACAGGGCGCGGCCAGTCGGAGCACCGGCGTGGCCTTGGCTGTCCAAAAGGCTGTTTTCTGGAGGACGATGGCGTTGGTATTCGTGGTGGGCGCATCCCAGGCATTGTAGGGATGGATCGGTCGATTCAATCGCCGGGAATCGGGATTGTATTAGATGTTACAACAACTTAATTGCAGGAAACCTCCATAGATGCACAGAAAGAAGGGCCCGCACTCAAAGAGTGTTGGATGTTGCTCTTGTCTAGTACGGCTTGCCACCGACGTCGCCCCGAATGGAGGACACAAGCGACACCCGCATCCGAACTCAAGACCAGCCGTAGGATATGAAAAGGGGTCAGATGGTCGAGATTGGCATGAGACAGTGAAGAGATGGAGAAGAAGAAAGCAAGAAATGAGAGAAAGGTGCTGTCTCGGAAGCGAGACCTACGAAACAAACCTGGTCGCTGCAGAGACGGCTTGTATGTATATCAGGAATAGCGACATATATCATTGCTATACTGTATCGAAACGCCGTCGTGCACGACGTCCCATGGCGTATCAGCATACGGAGTACATGGAGAATGGTGTGTTGTAGTGGTCAGTGGTGCATTGGGAGAAAATTTGAAGTGAGAAAATGAAATTGTGGTGCACGACAATATGGTAGCTATATCACGTGTTGATAAGCGTCCATCATTCACCTTATCTTCACCGGGAACAAGGATTTCCTTCAGCAGTCTCGACCTGCACACCAGGACCCGCCTTGTTCTAAACCTCACGCGACAGTGGGTCGACTTACATCAATTGTCCCAGAGGGATGCAAGGCCAAACAAATATACGCAATTTCATAATCCGTACGTCGTATGTGCCTCAACAACGTACATGCGCCAGAAGCCCACATCATAGCTACTGCTCCTCATAGTGAGTAGACGAGGCAGTGATCTGTCAGACGTGCCTTCCTCACATGTTAACACCGTCGGACCTAACTGTAACAGTGTCTGTTTGGAATGTGCGGAAACGCGTTCTTTCCTATTCAGTCTTGGCTTGGCAAAGCTCTTGGCTTTTAATTCGTACTTGTACTTCGTAATGTGCAATTATGGGTGGATCCAATTGCGGCTATCCGAGAAACAAAACGAGCATACGTTTGCAAACAGCACACTCGGATAACTTTGGCGTAATAATACTGCAGGGAGAGGAAGCAATTCAGTCTGTCGTACGAGCTATATTAACTTGATGAAACGATTGCGCATGTGGTGGACACAGCCAAAGAAAAGACGCTTCCTTCCTTCCCGACTTTCTCCCACAGCTCTTTCCCATCAAGCCTCGGTCACAGAGAAGGCACGATCTTAACGCTTCTCCTTCATACTGCGCTGCCATTCTCCTTTGCCTTCTATTTTTTGACATCCTTCTTCTATGTTGTACTTAGCTTCCCATTCTTCAAGAACTGTTACGTCATCTTTCCGCTTGCATATCCCCAAATCTTCCTAACAAGCTCCTCAATGTCGTGAGCCAAGGAAATAGTGATCGCGTGCCTTTTTCCCACTTTCCCCCCATCGCTTCCTCTGCGTGGTGATTCGGAGATGGTGTGGAGAGCGCCGTTGCGAGTTGGGACGCAGTCCGTGATATTGCTCGGCCGCACTATTTGTGGCCTGCTCGACGTAGGCCATGCTACCGCCAATGTCATCGTGTGCCTGTCGCTGACCCTGTTTTGTTTGGGACTTGTCCTGCAGGCCTTATCAAGTACGTGGCCAGCATTTGAAAATGAAACAATGGTGGAATAGGCTTATGAAAAGACACAAGCTAACAGTTTTGCAGACGCCGCCGATCCGTACAGGTGCCGGGCTCTCATACGGCACGGCTCCTGGCCGCCATACGCACCTCTAAAGGTCAATGCCGCCGCAGACTATGAGCAGCTCGAGACACTCCAGCGTGAGGGCCGCGAGCCGCCTCCGGCACGGCCGTTTGACAAGTGGGAGCCGGCCGGCTGCCGCATGCACGAGTATTCGCGAGACGACATCCGTGAGTGTTTGGGTGGCAAGCGCGTGCTCTTTGTCGGCGACACGACCATGCGTGTGCTCTTCTTTGCCGCATTGACCCGGCTCGAGCACGAGGTGGCCGAATGGCTTCTGCGAACGACATTCACCGAGAGCAACCCCCGGCATGACCTGGCCATTGACTCGGAAACGGTCCACCTGCATTTTATTTGGGACCCGTGGCTGAACTCGACGGCGCTTGACGACGAGATCCGTATGATGGAGCCCGGCGGCGACAAGCACGCTGGCACGGAATTGAAGCCAGATTTGGTCATAATAGGATCGGTCGGACTCTGGGCTGCACGTAATGCAGCGGACGACAAATATTTCGACACCTTTTGCACAACAACCGATCGAGTGACCCGTGTCATGGGTGACGAGGTGCGTCCTTTTGACGGACAACACTCTGCAAATTACGTCTTTCTCGCGCCGGTCACGATCCCCCGGTACGAGATGCTTCGGCCTGGACGTGCCGAAGCGATTTCGCCGGATCGGATCAAGCGCATGAACAACTACCTCGCAAATGTGTCACCCGCCGTACAGTCCCACATTCTGACCTCTTACAACGAGATGACCAACCACATTCCCGAAGCCTATGAGGACACGGGCTTGCATGTCACTGCGTCCGTTGCGGAGCGGTGGATCGATATCCCGCTGAACGCACGCTGCAATGGACTACTTCTCGGGCGTCCTGCGGCCGATCAGCCAGTGCCCAGCCTCGTCCATACGACGACGTGCTGTGCCGCCTATCCAACACCGGTCCGCGCACAGAGGCTACTCTGGTACATCCTTTGCGCTGCCATTTTTGTTCCCACCCTCATATTTGTTGTCAAAAGCCGAGCTGCCTTGTTGGCATCCCATTTATCATGCACATTTGTTGGCCTTGCCGCCCTCTATTGCTATATGGCCGATCGCTCACATGCCTTCGCCAAGTCAGAGAAGCACTACAATGTGGGCTGGCTATGCTTTGTTTCGGTCTTGTCGGTGATTGTGTTCCTTGTTTACCAAAAAAGATACGTCTGGAAATTGAGAGGTCCGCCACCAACATCGCCGCATCGGCCATCTTTGTCAGAGGTAGACTTTCTACCTCGACACATTTCGAATGAGTGGAAGGGCCTTATGCAGGTTGCCGTTTTGCTCCTCGCATACCAGGACACCACCCAAACGTCCATTGTTGTCAAATGGTCCGGATTTTTCACTGCATCGTATCTTTTCCTGTCTGCATTCGGTCATGCGTCCTATTTTCTGCGAGTAAACGACTTCTCGTTCCACCGAGTAGCGTCAGTTCTTTTTCGCCTTAATATCCTACCCTGCTTGCTGGCTCTTATGCTAGACGGGCCCGATAAGGGAACCGCAAACAGCGTGTCTCGTCTTTACTACTTCCCCCGCCTTATATCCTTTTGGTTTCTCATCATCTATATCACGCTACGAATCGGTTCTCACACAAATCGAAGTCAACCTCATTTGCTATTGCTCCGAATTTGTGTATCCGCCACTGTTCTCGTATATATTGGCTTGCATCCCGGGCCCTTCGGTCTTTTTGAGACGATAAACAAGGCAGGCACATATTTGTTTGGCAAACGAACGACATGGGCTGTCGAAGACATGAGCGTGGCTGTCTATACAAACTGGTGTGCGCCATATGTGGGTATGGTGGTCGCCGTTGTCGCACAACGAGCCGCCATTATCTGCGATCGAATACAGCGCCAGCAGGAACAAGAACAAATGCTTCTTTCTGGAAAATTCTCCGAATCAAGCGTACGTCCACATACCAGTACTGGACCGAGCACCAACGGAGTCAGACTCTTCGATGGTCGAGCCCGAGCCAACTCAACCAACAGCACCAACCCCGACTTCCGTAACTCGTTGCCAGACGATGTACGTGTCCGAAACGCTGTTTGCCAGGACGCGGGGTGGTTGGACCGGGTGTTGATCGCCGTGCTGTACCGGACTGAATTTACTACCCCTATCCAGACTATGATTGTCATATTCAGCTCCGTCTTCTTTTTCATGTTTGCCAGCGCTACATCCGTGTCGCCGCTTGTTGAAGGCGACACATCGCATCCCTACATAACGAGTGTTGCGGTTGCCTGCTTCGCCGTTGTGCGGAACTGCCACAGCCAGCTGCGTGCAAGATACATGATGGTGCCAGCGGCGTTGGGTGCCATGGCTCTTGAACTATTTGTCTTGCACAACCACATCCTACTGTCTGGAAATGGGACCGGCCACCTCCGACTCTTGTCCCTGTATGCTCCCGCCGTTGAAGAAGGCGCTTCTTTCCTGGAGAATGTCTCCAGAGCCAAGATTGCGACCGTACATTGCGTCGAGATTGTTAGTATCACCGTTATTTTCTTACTTGTCGCTCGACACACATACAAATCTACCCGCTTTCTAAGTCTACTACTGTTCGGAGACCGTGCTGCGGAGTATACGGGACATTCGCCCTTACCTGCAAACATGAGAGGCCCCGTCATCGGCATCGACGCCAGTATAGCCGCATTTGATTCTGGACACTATGAGCTCCCAGAGTATGGCGATGAGAGCTCTTTGACGGCGGCCAAGGAGCCGGCGGCCATACACCTGAGTCCAACAACCTTGGGTGTTCAAATCCGGGCAGCGAGTGTACTATTTTTGCTATGGGCCTTCAACCAGTTCTATGTATGATTGGGATGGTTTACTTGGATGATACCCTCTTGTCAAATGCTTCTAAATTATGCCTCGATGGCTCAATGGTGTTGCGGTAAGGCCACAAAATTGAATTTGAGTGTTAGTTTCGGATCTTTGAATTTGAGTTTACCACAAAATATAACAAATAAGGAGAGAGAATGATACTTTATTTTGCTTTCTTGCCATTTTCTTATTCTTATTTCATATAATTCTTGCAAAACAGCCAGCTTGGCTCGACTTAACGCCGTGACTTCGTCACAAGGCGACCTATGGCCTCTCGAAGACTTCTGTTTCATACTACCGTCTGGAAGCTTTATTTTGTTTTCAATACAAGGGGTCAGAATCAAAGTTTAACTGCGCCTCCATCGTCATGCCGCTTTGTGTCCTTTATCTACTATTCTCCGAAAGGCATTGTTCTCGAGCGCCTTATTATACAGATTCCAGTTTGGCGACAGGAATTCACTCAAGATCTTAAAACACTCTTTGACTACAGGTTCCATACGGTGCAGCAGAGTACGGACAATATATGCCTCTTCCCGGTCAGTACTAAAGGTTGTAACTATTTGTCAAAACGTTTGAGGCTGCCGTTACATTTTTGCAACGATTTGTATTTTTGCATTATGCTTCATTGGCCTGGCAAGTCTAATATGGCAATACTTTGCTTGTGGGTTTTTACATCAAGATTTTACTTTACGCTTTTATGAGTTCTTGTAATCGAATAAGTCTTGGCCTTTGGTACAAAAGAGTGTCGTTGATGGGCTGCTTAGCGAGGACCCATGTTTAAAGATATCGTCGAATATATATAAAAGAGAAGTTGTCTGAAAAGAACATGCTGGAGTTTGGGCGGTAGGATGTTCCATATGATTTGCTACTCGGTCAGCACCCAGATGTGACGCAGACAGCGAAGGTGTGCACTTTGCAGATCTGATTTTCTCTCTCCAAGGAAATATGTGCACAAAGAACGGACTTCGTCCAGATGATGAGCGAACATTGGTGCCTTGTCCTGGTCTGAAGTTGATGTTGGCGTTTCTCCTTTTAAAAATAAATAAATTAATAATATCCATTTCTTTCTATTTGCAATCACACTCACAGTCCCCCGTCTGAAATCTCCACGCATTGATGGTGTTGGGTTTTCGATGCAAAACAAAACACGTCTGGGAAACCTGGACCAGGGGTCGTTGAGGGAGAGGCTCTGTGCGGCGCCAGGTGCCGAAGAAACCTGACAGAAGCTAAAGCCAAACTCAAAAAACAGGGCAAAATACACTAGCAAAACAACTCGAGTCCAGGAAGCAACCCCGGACCCGCCGCCGACTATCTACCGACTTGTCCAGCGCGGCTCTTGCCCTAAACTTATTTTGAACCTGCCCCCAGTCACTAAAGTTAGTGGCCTCCATCACGTCCCACCTCCGCTAAATAAACTCACCTTCACCATGAAGCTCTTTCCTTATTGCATCTCCCTGTGTTGCCCAACAGAAACTTTTCCCCATCAGACGCACTGCATAGCGTTCGGAGAAAAGGTATGGAAGGTAGGCTGTGCATTCACAGGTTTCTCGGATGGCAGCTTTGCCGTTGAAAACAGAGCCTCCTGTCCTCCTTCAACCCTTGCAAAAGGAGACCGGTGCCATGTCGAAAGCCGCGACATTGCTGTAAGTATGTTGGTATACGCTGCGGAAAAACGAGATGACAAGAGAGATAGGCCGTCTAATCTGTCTGTCTTTGTGAGTCCTGTGTGTGTCTGCCGTTGTTACCTCGTCTTTTCTTTCCCTGTCTTTGTCTCTCTCAAACCTGGAACAGCGCAACGCCATTCCATCCCGCATCTCGCCCCCTTATGGGCGACCTGGATCGGACCCTGGAAACGCTGTGTATGGTCTGGTCCCATAGATGGAAGCATTCGGACAGCGGTTAAACGTCTTGTATCAGTGCTTCACACAAAACACAAGACCAGATGTTAGCCTGAAAGATAAGATTGTTCACGACAAAAGGGCACACAATAACACGACGTTACAGCTCAACTGCTGAGCCTCTCAGAGACCCAGAACTACCTCGCTGGTCACTGGTTTTGCCAAGAAGTCTCAGGCTCTGTAGCATAGTGTAAGGACGTGAGGAGGGGTGCAGAGTTTGCGATGTGATGCTGTTACGACCTCGCGGCCGAACAGAGAGGGAGAGGGGGGAATCCGTCGATCGCGAGGCACGGCCATGGCTGAGAATTGTCATGCACGCCCTCTCACCTCTCACCTCCCTCCTCTTGTATCTCCCACGCCTCATAATGCATGATGATGAGCCCGTCATATATATATCTGGACGGTGGCCTGGCTGCACATCAATGATCTTCCTATTTTGTTTCTCTTTCTCCTCTTTTTCTTTTCTGTTGCCTCTCTCCCTCTCTCTTTTTCTTTCCTTTTCTATTCCGTACCTCGCTACGACATTCCTTTTTTCAAACCTATTTACTTTCTTTTTATTCTTCTTTTTCTTTCTTCATCTTTCTTCTCTTCCCGCGCCCAAGAGGCTGCATTTCTGTCATTGACTGACACTGGTTTTTTTATACCTCTCGTTTCTTTCTTTGCACACTGTAACCAAATCAAAACTACCTCCCTTTGACAGGGCCTTTATACATCGAGTGCTTTGGTCATTCATTCTTTTCTTTGCACCTCGACGTTTTTCTCAGTCTTTTTTTCTTGTCCCATCCTCTCACAGCCAACAAATTTTCACGATGCATTACTCTACAGCCCTGGCAGTCTTGGCCGGCTTTGGCTCCTTGGCATCCGCAGGTACGACCTTGTATACGAGTAACTCTTTTTCATTCTTCAGAGTCCTTTACTAATAAAACAGCGCCCGCTCACAAGATCCATGCCGTTGCTGCCCGCACCAACAACAACCACAGCGGCAACAAGAAAAACAGCAAGAACAACAACAACGGCAACAACAATGGTGCCACCATTGTCGGTATCTCGCCTGCAGCAGTTGTTGGCAGCACCCAAGTAGTCGTCGAGCAGACGATTCTCCAGCCGCAGATCACCGTTGTCCAAGAGAACCTGGACCTTGTCAACCAGCTGGCCGTTGTGGCCGAGCAGGAGTTCTCTGCCCTTGTCCAGTCCCAGCTCGCCCTCGTGAACGAGGTCGAAACCATCAAGAACAACATCCGCGTCAACCACTTCGCGGCCCGCTTCTCCCAGGTCAACACTGTCATTGTGTCCGTCACCGAGCTGGTCGATCTCCGCGGCGGCGCCGGTAGCCGCAACTCGCGTTACATGGTCAACCAGCTGCTCGCTGACAACAACAAGCCTGGAAGCACAGTTGTCGTGATGATGACTGCCGCCAACCCCGTGACCATCAATGCGGCCCAGCCCACGCTCGACCTTGCTGGCTTGCTGGGCGCTAATGCGACTGCCCTGCCCTCGGGCGTCGTGGCCTCGGCCGTCTCTGCCGCTTCGGCGTCGGTCGCAACTACCGCAGCGGCCGCATCCGCCAGCAGCGCCTCTGTCGTGAGCAACGTCAACGCCTCGTCGTCTGGTCTCGCCGGTATCTCCGGTCTCAGCGGCAACATCGCCGCCTATGACCCCAACAACCCGTTCGGCCAGATCGGCCAGACCGTCATCCTGCCCTATGGCTCCAAGGCCCCCAGTCTGCCCAACGGTGCCCAGATCGTCGTCGACCCTGCCAACATTATCCTGCCCAACCAGGCGGGCTTGCTCGTCGAGAACATTAACCAGTTCAGCCAGGACTGCGCCCTCTACAGCGCCAACAGCCTGTCTCTCTTCAACCTGCAGTCGTCCATCATCGCGGCCGAGGCCGTTGCCGCCCTCGAGGCCAGCAGCCTGTCGCTGGGCTCATCGTCGAGCCTCAACGCGGCTGCCGCGGCTCTTCTTAGCGGTGCTAGTGGCTTTGCAGCCAATGTTGGCTCTTCCAGCATCTCTACGTCGACCACGACAACTGCTGCCTCGACTTCGACCGCTGCTGTTGCTACCGCTGCCGTGGCCACCTCCAGCGTGGCCGCTGCCGCTCCGGCTGCTGCATCCACAGCAGCTGCCGCAGCCGTGGTTGCCGGTGCCGCTGTTGTCTCGCCTGTGGCTCCTGCAGCCCCTGCTACCCCAGCGGCGGCGGGCGGTGTCGGCGTGCAAATCGTCCCAATCGCGCCGCCTGCATAAACCCGTAACATCCCTTCTGACAATGGCCGGCCGTGCACTGCTTGTCTTGACGACAAGATTGGTAACGGTTTTTTTTCTGTAGAGAGGTCCGTCTTTTTTCCTGTCTCGTACATAGACCCGACCCTACGTCTCCCCCTTCCGTTCTATAGTTTTTGTCACCCTTTTTTTCTTAGTTTATGTATGGTTTATGTTTGTTTATAGGATAAATGGTCCCCTGGAGGCTCCTAACGCTGGGAAAGTTAGTGTATGAAAATCGATATTGAGATACCACTTTTATGACCTTCTACGCTCATCCACTATATGTTTGTTTTGACGAAGTACAATCCATCACCAGCAGAGCTTGCCACGACTTAATTTTCATCACAAAAGATCAAAAGATCGAATGTATAAAACTGCGCCCTTCGATATGCCAAGATTGCCAAGATTTACAAAACAGATCCTCGCCGTCCCCGGCGCATCGGGCATCGCAAATAAGAGGATGAGGGTGTGCAAATAAGAATGCACCGCTGATACATATGAAAAAAAAATAAAAATAAAAGAACAGTGGCGGACATCAAAACACGTCAATAGCAGACTCTGATATAGCTACGGCGCTACCGCATTTTCTGTGACGTTTGATCGATGCACATCTTGCGTTTCAAACAACTTGTGTAAGCCAGTCCAGGAACCTGGGGGGTGTTTACCTTGGGTGGGGGGTTCTGCCAGTCTCATGAGCACATCCACGCAGCGTTAACTCTCATCACATTTCACACCTGGGCCTCAAGTCTTCGAGAAGGCGCCGATGTCCAGTTCATAGAAATCACAAATGCATAGGCTCATTATGTGATGAAATGACGATGAGTCGAAAATAGATGCGGCAAAACTATGAATCTGGTTGTGATAATTGTCAGTCTGTGAATTCAAACAGCCGTGTCTTAAGGTAGATTAGATACAGTACAAGCACGGTGCATTACGAACCTTCGGACTTAAGAAAGGCAGGACAGTCTCGTGTCAGTTTTAGAACCGTCATGTGACTTGATTACTCAGTTTTCCAAGTCAACCCTATCGTGCTGCAATTATATTTTTCCGGATTTCCACACCAAGTCATAAATTTCGCACCAAAAGTTGGCCCTCGCTTATTGGAAGGGGACGCCTCGAAGAGGGCTTGCGGGCTCCACACTGACAGGGAAATTTTCGCAGGAAGAGTTTGGAGGCTTTTGTCGATGGTCTGCGATTCCTCTCCTCCCTTTCCTCTCACCTTCAACCACCACCCATCAACAATTCAGGTAGCAGCATCCACGTCGGACAGACGAAGAAGTTGCCCACCATGTCTCTCGTCGGAGGTGAAAAGAGTGAGTTCAATACCCTTTTCCCATACTGTCATCGAAAACAACGCCACAGAACCGGCCTCATCGCACTTTTTCGAACCCGAACCGATGAGACGGCTATCGTGAATGTCGACGGCGTTCGGAACGGCGACAATGATGTATAGAACAAGCGCGGCCAGATTTGCTAACACTTATGCGTGCAGCTAACTTTCAGTTCGTACGTTAACACTTCCAACCCGCCCAATAATCTCGACCTCGAATTTTGTCGCGCTCCCTTACCTTTGGCTCTGCATTCGATACGCATCCAGCGCTGCGGCACTCGACTCTGAGACGACGCACCACCCGACGACAGAAGGAACACAGGACGCTAACAGGAGGAATAGATCATCCGTCTGCTGAACACCAACATTGATGGCAAGCAGAAGGTCGTCTGTTAGTACCACCCGCACCCCAACAAGTGGACAGAAAAGAGTTTCTCGACGAAGGATGGTACAATGTAGTGCAAGGGGATCGTGGCTGACATACAAATTCTAGACGCCCTGACCAAGGTCAAGGGTTGCGGTCGCCGCTATGCCAACATCGTCGCCAAGAAGGCCGATATCGACCTGAACATGCGGTATGTTTTATCATCACCCAACGACCGATCGAACTGCGAAGCGGGCATGAAGAAGAGACAAGAGGCAGCATTAGGCTCGTACTCATACTAAATCTTACGTTTCTTTCTGGCCGGGGCGACTCATCGAAGAATGACGATCGAACCGAGATACTAACTCACTTTGTAGCGCCGGTGAGCTCTCCGCTGAGCAGCTGGAGCGGATAGTCAGCATCCTGCAGGCTCCCACCCAGTACAAGATTCCCTCCTGGTTCCTTAACCGTCAGCGCGATATCGTCGACGGCAAGGACAGCCAGATCCTGGCCAACGGTGTCGACTCCAAGCTCCGTGAGGATCTCGAGCGCCTCAAGAAGATCCGCTCCCACCGTGGTCTCCGCCACTACTGGGGCCTCCGCGTTCGCGGTCAGCACACCAAGACGACCGGTCGTCGCGGCCGGACTGTCGGTGTGTCCAAGAAGAAGGGTGGTTAAACAAGAAATCGGAAAAGGTTCTTGTGTTGCTCTCTTTCCTTGCTCGCTGTCAAGGACGGCAGCGTCCTGGGGAAAGAGAGCTGGGGCGGGGAAGAGAAAACAACAACGAGTGGGAGATGGGAGCAAACGGTTTGGTACCAGGGAAACATGGTTCGGTGTATCTCTTTTCCATTTTTGTTACTACTGTTCTGCTTGTTCGTCTTTAACAGGCTCTCATACAGAGAGACGGAGTAAGAAAAATCAAAACAAAATAAAAATTATCAAAACATACCTTGGCCGTGAACTAGGAATGCCATTGTTTATGTCATTGTTACCTACGCCATCATATGCCGGCACCTGTAGCCATTTGTCTGGATGTTTTATCGTTTGAATCTATTGCATTTCGTTGACAGTACTTTTCCTTGACGCCGAAACAAAAGCTAGACACATCATTCGTGACAAACAAAACAGTGGTATGTAAGTGCCAAGACACAATCAAATATGCAAAAACGTAACCCTTTCTTACCAGCGTTCCCCCCTCCCCCCGCCGGCATCTTAGTCCTCTTTTGTCACCGTGACGTCCAGAACTTCGACACGTCCCTGGCCACGGGTCTCGTTGTCGACAAAGTCAGACAGGGCCTTGAAAGCACCCGGCTCAACGAACCCGGTCACCTCCCAGCTGGAGCCCACAACGTCCTGGCTCTCAACCTGTTCCACGTAACTGAGGATCTTGTCCTTGACCGTGCCGGGTGCCTTCTTCTGACCGCCCTCTTCGCCAGACGCCGAGGCTGCGGGGGCGGAGGTCTTGGCCGCCTGCTTCAGAACACTCGTTGTGCACGTCACACGCAGACGCATGCGCGCACGCATCACGGGGATCGGCTGCAGCGCAATCAGGGCCTTCATGGCGTCGAGCGCCTGCGATTTGGCGCTCTTGGCAGCCGTGACGCCGGTCCACATGGGAACCTTTGCAGGGCCAGCAGCGCCATCCTTACCGCCAGCGACGTCCTCTTCGTCGGACACCGGCTTTTTGCCCTCGCTATCCTCCTGGTCGTCTTCTGCCTCCTGCTTCTGTTTTTGCTCTTGCTGTTTTTGCTCCTTCTGTTCCTTATGCCGTTGCTCTTGTTGCTGGTGGGCCTGCGCGCTCAGCATGTCCAGTGCCTTCTCAATCATGCCGGTCGTGTAGACTCGTCGTGTTCGTGGGTCCACCAGCTTGCCTGCCACAATGTCAATGACCTCGTGGTGTACTCGGTCAAGCTGCGCCGCCCGTTCTTTGTCGCCGACTTGCAATTCGCCCTTTTTCAAAATCTCAAGCACAACGGACTCAGTCGTCGCCTTGTTGCCAAAGGCCTTGGTCAGCTCCGCTGCCGGTGCCGTCTGGCCCTTGGACACATTGATAAAGACGTTGGGGATCTGGAGGACGTTGTCGAGATCGGTTTCGATGCCGGAGCGCCACTCGAGAACTTTGTTCTTGTAGCAGGCGATTTCGAAGCGCTTCTTGCCCTTCTTGAGACGCACAAGAGACACGTTGGTCAGCTTGATCTGGTTTGATGGTTGGTTGATCTGGCGCGACATTGTGCGAGTTTGCGCGTTTGGTCCTGAGGTTGGGCTTTTGAGGCTGGGCGGGGGGAGAAATACACTTCAAAGTGCGTTCAAAAGTTCAATTTTTTGGTGCCTTGACTTTGACTGCTGTCGTGATTTGCCGCCAATGAAGGGCCGTGGGTTTCCGGCGGAGGAGGAGCGAATAGGTGAGCCTATTATATTACTGAGCTTTCCTGAAACAGCCGTTCTAATATAAAGCTCAAGCTGCATTCAGGTGTTTGCCGTTGTAAACAAAGCACCGTGATGGCTTTGCATACAAAATTTGGGTGTCGTTACTTTGCGCGGTGGTAACCCAATTACTAAGGAGTTCCAGGACAGTGGATATGATGGTGGGTGACTCAAAATACCCCGCCATAGGCTTCTCTCAGGCCTAAAACTCATCATAATGAGTACATGGCAACATACGACGGCCTGAGTATAGTGCAATTGGGCAAATTTACTTCGTGTATACTTCGTACACCGAAAGCCCAATCTCAACGATGGGGCATCCGGACAATACGAAGAGAAACGAACATATACTTCAAGTGAAAAGACCAACCGTTTGAACTCGAAAGCTGGGATGAGACCATCAGATGCCGTTTTCTATGGAGAACACAAAGTGTCGCACGTGCATACAGTGTTAACTGTACAGTGTGTGTTTAACTTGCTCACGGCAAGAGAGAAAGATAACATCATAGCACCGAGCTTGGCCAGTCACATCGCTTTGCCACAGTCCCCACTCCGCACGTTGCCTGGTCAAGGAAGGTGCAGTCATCGCCCGTCCTTGTTTCAGCAGGTGCGAAGTGGTGCTAGCACCGACAACGTCTGATTGCAGCTGCCTTGTTGGGGGCCTGGCCGCGGATTGCCCTTCCGGCGGCGCTATCAGCTCGGATACCTCTTTGTCTCGGTTCTTGCCTTACGTCTTCTCACCTCGCTCTCTTTTCGTTTCCTGCATCTCTCGTTTTGCATCTTCTTCTCATCTCATCCTGTGTACTTTCACATCTCTCCATCGTCAATTTGCCCAATTCCACCTATCGCACCCCATCCTAGTTCCTTTTTCTCCGCTTTGTACAGACACCTATACTGCCCATCATGCGCATTGCTGCGTCAGCCGTCCTCGTTGGAGCGGCTTCAGCGTCGATCTTGTCGCCGTTGAGTGGCCAACAGCATGTGCTCGGTGATGCCGCCAAGAAGCCGGTGATTTCTGGCGACGATGCCGCTGCTGCCAGTGGCCCTTTTGCTTCCTTCAAGGAAGCTGTGAAGGGCATGACCGCCGATGCCGAGGCGCTGTGGGCAGAGGTCAAGCTCCATTTCCCTGACGCTTTTGAGAAGTCGACTTTCTTCTCGAGCCCCAAGAAGCACACCCGCCGGCCGGATAGCCACTGGGACCACATCGTCAAGGGCGCCGACATTCCGTCTGCATTTGTCACGACTGCGGGCGGTTCCAAATCCCACGACACCTTGGAGGCCTATAACCTCCGCGTCAAGGCTGTGGATCCCTCTGGTCTTGGCATTGACAAGGTCAAGCAGTACAGTGGCTACCTCGATGACGACGAGAACGACAAGCACCTGTTCTACTGTACGTTTTTGCTGCTTTTCCTACTGTTACTCCTACCTTCCTGCTCACACTTTTTTTTTGTTTACTAACCGAGTACAGGGTTCTTCGAGTCTCGCAACGACCCCAAGAACGACCCTGTTGTCCTGTGGCTGAACGGTGGTCCTGGTTGCTCGTCGCTGACCGGTCTCTTCTTCGAGCTCGGCCCCTCGGCTGTCGATGAGAACATCAAGATCGTCAACAATCCCCTGTCGTGGAACGCCAACGCGTCCGTGATCTTCCTTGACCAGCCCGTCAACGTTGGCTACTCGTACTCCGGCCAGTCCGTCAGCAACACTGTTGCTGCCGGCAAGGATGTTTACGCCCTCTTGACCCTGTTCTTCAAGCAGTTCCCCCAGTACGCTAAGCAGGACTTCCACATTGCTGGCGAGTCCTATGCCGGCCATTACATCCCCGTCTTTGCCCACGAGATTCTGTCCCACAAGGACCGCAACATCAACCTCAAGTCTGTCCTGATTGGCAACGGTCTGACCGACCCCTACACCCAGTACGAGCAGTACCGCCCCATGGCCTGCGGCGATGGTGGCTGGCCTGCTGTCCTGGACGAGTCCCAGTGTCGTTCCATGGATAACTCGTTGCCCCGCTGCCAGTCCCTGATTGAGGGCTGCTACAAGTCGGAGAGTGTCTGGAGCTGCGTTCCCGCCGCGATCTACTGCAACAACGCCATGCTCGGCCCGTACCAGCAAACTGGTCGCAATGTCTACGACATTCGCGGCCCTTGCAAGGACAGCAGCAACCTGTGCTACCCCCAGATGGGCTGGATCGCCGAGTATCTGAACCGCGATGAGGTGAAGAAGGCCGTGGGTGCTGAAGTTGATAGCTACGACAGCTGCAACTTTGATATCAACCGCAACTTCCTCTTCCAGGGCGACTGGATGCAGCCTTTCCACCGCCTTGTGCCGGACATCCTGGCTGAAATCCCCGTTCTCATCTACGCCGGTGACGCTGACTTTATTTGCAACTGGCTCGGTAACCAGGCCTGGGCTGAGGCCCTCGAGTGGGATGGCAAGGCCGCCTTCAACAAGGCCCCGACGAAGGCCTTGAAGCTCTCTGGCAGCACGTCCTTCGTCGATGCCTTTTTCAAGAAGGAGGGCTACGGCACAGTCAAGGCTGCTGGCAACTTCACGTTCATGCGCATCTACGAAGCGGGCCACATGGTGCCGTACGACCAGCCCGAGGCTTCTCTCGACTTCCTCAACCGCTGGCTGGGCGGTGAGTGGTTCGAGCAGTAAATTCGCTCGGTTCCGCAATCACGCACATGTCCAAGGAGCACATAGTCCCCCAATGATTTAGCATATTTAAATTGACAAGGTCTTCATTTTCTTGTTCTTGCTCTTGAATGATTAATAAAGAGCTGGCCTGATTGAAACGGGCCTCCTTTTGTGGGCTCAACGCTTTATGTATTTGCGTGCCGTCAACGGTCACCGGCACCTTTTGTTTTCTGCTTCCTTTGCTATGGCGTTGCTTGACTGATATCTTTAAGTGTTGTATAGGCGAGTTTTGTTTTATTTTTCTTTTGGGAGGATTCTGTTATTACCGGCGAGGCTCCGTTTATTATGTACGGAGGAAAGATGCACCAAGTTATTGAAATACAACTTTATATTAACAAATTGTTACCAATCGCGATATTTCGTATAGGCCACACATAATTTAAGTCACATGGCAATATGCATCTCTACATCCACCAGAGAATTTTACTGACCAGCCTCCTTTACCGTCCCAAGCCAGGGATTATAACCAATATTTGAGAGGCCAACTGTAAACGCAGTAACGATTCGCCTTTGCCCCGTGTCCTGACAAACAAGTAGAATAACACCAAATGAGATGAAATAGGAAAGATTTTGATCGGGCGGAAATGGCCGCGCCACCATCAGCTGATCTGCAACGGCCAAAGGCGAGCACAATGCGTCCATTGTCCGCTGTCTGCACGTGCACCCAACTTTCCATACGTTGCGCTTCGTGTGTGGCTCATGACCGAGAACAAAAGAAAATGCAAACCAAGAGGACTAAATATTGGAAACGTAAGGCGTGCCCAACACGCCAACTTACACCCCTTTGCATTGTAAAAAGACATAAGATACTAGATAGAATACAGTGAAAGAACAGTCGTTAAACCATCAGAGCAAAAAGTTAATCCTTGGATAGACACGCGATATAGTTGTGTGCCTTCATGGGCGTAGAAAAACGGCCACGCTTTAACGGCAGCCATCTTGAGCTGCCGACTGGTCGGTGTTATTGGAAGCGGGTAGAGGAGGGCCCGGACTGAGGTGGCGGCGGAAGAACGTGAAGGCGTTCATCCTAAACCGGCTTGACTTCTTCTTTAGGAAGTGCTCTTCTTGATGTGGCTTCCGCGTGCCATTGTCACCGCTGATTCCACCAGACGATAGAGACGAGCCATCCTCGCGGGAAATCTGTGCGCTAATCAGCGCTTCAGAGTGGCTTTTGGTGATATCGTTCGGGGTCGAGGTGATGGCAGTGGAAGCGGGCAAGCTCGCTGGACGATCCATAGAGTCGCGGCTAATGATGCTGGTGCCTTGCGTACTAGGAGAGAGTGGCATTTTCCCTGTCGTTGCACTGGTCGCCTGGGAGGCCCAATCCCCGCCACCAGGTAGAGATGTGCTGCCGTCCGTTGCCTCGCTCACTCGTTGCTTGGATGAGGCCAATGGCCGACTATCGCTCATAACAAAGGGGTCACTCATTGCGAATTCCGCAACAGCGTCGTACCGCGGACTGCCTCCGTTCTGGTCCTTGTACAGGTCACCAAATGAAGGCATTTGTTTGGGAGAGATAGCGCTTCCGTTATTCGCGTGCTCATCCGAGTGCGTTGCCGTATCAATTACAGCACCACTTGTGGAGGTGCAAGATGATGCCTGCTGTTGCTGATGTTTCGGCTGAGTCCCGGACACGTCATTCGGAATGGCTACGCTCATTGAGCGCGGAGAAAAGGTGCCATCAAGGCTGCGAGACTGCTCTTCTTCAGCCGCTGCTTTTTCGGTCTCTTCGGCGACGCTCCTCTCAAAAATAGCCTTGTTGATTTCGAGCTCGTCCACGCAGTATTGCATAGCGGGCATTATGCTGGCAATGCCTTGGAACAGAGGGATGGCGAACATGTTCATAAAGCCGAGCTGGGCACGGAAAAGAGACACATTGTCTTTCTTCGGCGGAGCTACTAGAGACGACTTGATTGCGAGCTGGCTCTCCATTAAAGCCTGCCGAGAAAATTCGTCTGACAGAATGTGCATCCATTGCAATGCGGCATCGTGTCGTCTCGCCACGTTGCTGATATCTGCACATTTGATGAGCAGAGCACAAGCCAGTGCAGTTTGATCTTCGACCATACGGCCGTTCCAGCCGTCAGTGGTGTTGCTATCAGCAAGCTTGTCCTGGGTATTCCCGAGCTTCTTCATGTAGTCAAAATGAAGTCCCATGTCAGTGGCAAGGATGGAGCTGGTCATGAGATTCCTCATTTTGCTGTCGTTAAAGGCGGCGGGCCAATACCGCCGCAAAATCTGGGAGTAGGCTGCGCAATGGAACGACTCGAGGACGGAGCGGTCGTTGTAGAGCTGCGCGAGAGGGGTGTTCAGCACAACCAAGAAACCATTGTTCACACCCGGGTGACCGACGTCGTGTCCAATGGCTGTAATGAGTAGGGTAAGAGCTTCAAATGGGCGAATTAATGACGCCATGGGAGATTTTTGTTTGCGATGCAAAGGCGTGTTGGTCGAAGAGGTTGCGGATGAAGAGTGTAATAATGGGTAAGGAGGGAGCGCCCCGATGTTGATGAGGAAGTTGAAAGTCCCTTGCAAGACATCGACAACGTGTCTGAAATTGTGGTAAGGCACGAACGAGTTGTATGCTGCTCGGCAAGCAATGAGGAAGCAGATTAGTTGATCCGTTGGTATCCGCCACTCCGCCAACTCAGACATGGACAGGGCATGCTTGAACATGAGGGCCGATGCTTCGATCAACTCATCGTCATTGAAGTCATGGGCCGAGAAATGCCAGTTGCCGATCGCGGAAGCAATAACCTGCTTTCTGCGGGGTGCCACGCTGATACGAACAGCGTCAACGGGGAGTTCGTCGCCCTCCTCCATCTGGCAAATTCTCCGCATAAGAGATGTCACCATATTCTCGCGTAAATATGCAAACGGGCGGTTGTCCGAAATACCAACCCAAGAACGCTTCCGGCCCCGGCGTAGCTCGAGTAGTGCCTGTCGATCACGAGCAGCACTCTTATGTGCCCAGTAGGCGCGTACTTCGAGACTCGTGATACTTTGTGGCTCTATTGGGCTGAAAAGTACGTCCACAGCACCCAGTTTCAGGCAGCTTTTGAGTAAGGAACGGTTGAGCGCTCGATTTATTTTGAAAGCTTGAGCTGGACTGGTCTCCGCATTGCTGCCGGGACTCTGAGAAAGTAGGGCTGCCGCATCTTCAGATTCAGAGAGCTTAATAACGGAGACCGGCACGATGAGCTTGGACAAGTTTCGCAAGTGCGCTTCAGACACGATGCGGCGAAGGAGACGCAAGCCGTAGACTTCGTCGGTAGGCGGGGTGTTTGGGACGGAGCCAGCCTCGTTTTGTGATGTGGAGTGTGGTGATGGGGATCGTGACTGTTCGTCTAATGGAATGCGCTCGTCGTGAGGTGTACCAATCAAAACGATAGTCGGCTTGAGGCCCATCGTCGATTCGTCCTGGAGGTCAAATAGCTTTGCCATGCATGCGCTTCCGGTTCCACAAAGGTGAACTACACATCCGAGAGACGAAGAAATCCGTCAGCTCATGCACTAGATTGATGCCAATTTTGAAAGCATGACGAAATAAGATAGACTTACCATCACCAAAGACGTCAGCTAATAAGCAGATGTTATCTTCGAGTGTTTTGGACTCCCATGCTGTGGCCGGGGCCTCAGTCTCAGGTTGTTCTGTTGGTTGTTGTCTTTGGACACCATTCGCGGACCGAGCGTGAAATACGCGGTCTTCTCGAATGCTATCATCAACGTAGATGACATTGCAAAGTGTTGTGTCCATTGCGGCGGGCGTGGGGCGACCGAGTCTTGACGACTGGTCTTTGCCGCAAATGGAGTGGGGGTGAAAGAAAAAGAATGAAGGCGACAAAAGGAAGCAGGAGTGTCCAGTATCGTAGATCAAAAGTCAAGATACAGCACCAGACTTTTCGATTCGCCAGGATAGGGGGGATTCGCCAACCCGAAACGTCAGACGGTGCAGCGATAACAGGCACAAGGTCCCGAACGGATACACCTTGTACGACGGCCACAACCCCCACAGAAAAGAAAACAAAAACCCAATGGAAATCTTTTCGCAGATATGTTGTGCTTCGAGGGGTCGAAAAGGGCCACAATTAAGTTATTTCCCAGAAAATATTAGAATATTCGACTTCGGGAGGAGAGAGACAGTCGACTTTGACGTTGATGGCGTAGCTCGGTGGTAACAGGAGTCCTCTAGAAAATCCGAGACAGTTCAGGACGACGATCCAGTGGCTTCGAGAGGACCGAAATCCACTTGCTAAATTCGGCCCACGAGTAGGGAAATCGATTGAAAAGCAAAAAGCAGCAGAAGAAAGTATTGGACGAAGTGCCTGGAAGGGCAAAAAGGTCGGTTGTGGTGTGGTTGGATATTGGCGAAAGCAGACCGCGCCGAGATTTGGACCGTCGTCGTACAGCTTTAAAAAGCCCCGTGTGGTAACGGAATCACACGAGAAACAAAATGAACCTGCAAAGAAACAAGCGAGCTATCAGCATACTGCGTACTCTTCTACAGGCGGGTTTTTCACGTATGCATTGCCAGGCGGTCGAATACGCGAATCTCGTCGGCATGGAGCAGTAGCGAACGGCAATGGAGCTGGATTGCGGGCGGGGAAATGAAAAAGAGACTGGTCGGCTACAGTCGCAGGACATTGTTTGTCGGACAGAAACTGTGGCTGCGACTCGAATGCAGCTGAGCATGCGACCGTGTCTGGGTAGCTGGCTTGCTGGAATCGAGTAGATAGGCGCACTCTTTCGCTCAGGGTTGTAGCGTGTTCTTCGCAGTTGAAGGACGAAATCGAAACCGGACGACAAACTTTGACGGCACGAGACGCAAGCGCGGGAGTGGTTCAAGTGGCCAGACAGGTCGCAGGAGACAGAAGGTAAAGATGTATGTACATCAAGGTGAAATAACGATAGTGCAAAAGCTTACCGTTCGAGAAAGCGACGAGGAAGAAGTCGCAAAGCGTTCGTACGAGACAGAAAAGGCGACGAGAGGGGAAGAATGAAATAACGTGTTCGTTGAATCGTCACAGGAAACAACGAAGATGGAGTCGAGTAAGGAAAGTTGGTGGAAATTTGAAAGGGAAAAGAAGAATAGAAGGGAAGAGGAGGTGAATGGCCGATCGCGCGACAGCGACAGCGGGGTCTCTATCCAGAGTTGAGAGAAAGGGGAAATGGAAAGGGAAACAAGACCTTGGATGCTGCGGAGAATCAAAACGAGAGACAAAAAGAGAGACAGGAACCCAAGAAAATGGAGATTCGTAGAAACGTCGCAAAGGAACAGGGTAGAGGAGGAGAAAGGTGAAAGGCGAGTGGAAGGGAAAGGCGAGACTGGATACACAACACGCTGAATGGCAACAATAGCAGGAGGGATTGGGCCAAATGCGTGAGGGATCAATGGGAAAGAGCAATGGAGGGAAAAGAGAAAGAGACGACAAGGTTCCTTTTTCGTAAGAAAGAGGAGAAGAAAGGGGGGGTTGCGTGATTATGGGTGGGTGGTCCTGTTGTGGGAAAGGCGAGAAGGGAGAGAGTATGAGGCGGCAGCTGGTGGGTAGAATTACAAGGGGAAGGGACGGGGGTTGGGAGAGCGGCTTCTTCTGGGGCAACAGTGCTTCGAGAAGGGGAAGGAACAACAGGATGAAAGAAGGTGCGTGATTGCCACGTTCTGCTGTGTCCTTCCTTCCATCCTTTTTCCCGACCAGGGAAGGGACGATTAATTACTCGCGCGAATGTAGCAGCTTGCCACAGCAATGGTGGCGCGCGTGCTCTACATCGACTTCGGGGCATTTTACGGCGCTGTGGCAGACTGTGAAAGAGCAAGACAAGATACGCCGTACAAAGATACCAAGATACATAATATATACAGAATGTGCACGCGCACTCTGTATGTAAAGACGCAGGGGAAAATGAAAGTACAGGAAAGAGCAAAAGCAAACTGCGCAATGCCAGAACGGCTGCAGGCAGGGACGCCAGGAGGAAAGTGCTGAACAGCTCTGGCGCATTGGTTCCTTCCCGTTCCTTTGAAAGTGGAGCATAAGGGGAGGATGGGGAGTGGTGGCCCAGGCGAGAGAGAAGGCGCGAGGCGACAAGAACAGGCTTCGAGAAGGTCTGTGGAAGCCTGTGCCGAAAGTTCTTTGCGCCCCGCTTGCGTTAGTGTAAATGTGGGTCAGCCAACGAAAGGGCAGCAGCGCAGGAGGAGCGCGAGCCAAGACCACAAGACACGGAGATAGGACGCACGCGAATGGACGGAAACAAGCACGAAGTCAACAGCAGACACCCAAACAAGCCGCATCTCACGCTCAAGACCATCATCCTACGACGCAATTAAAGTGCTACATTACAGGGCCTGCAAGTATGTGTAGACGCGGTGTTCCGGCATAGGGCGGCGGTCATACCATGAGGCAAGATCGATCGGCGAAATGGCGGAAGCTGCGAGGGCGCGATTGGATCGCCCTGTGCAGCACGAAAGGAAGGAGCAATGTCTGGTGCCTCTCCCTCTCTTCGCTGTCTCGTTACGATACTCCGTACATCGTGTTTGTCGAGTTTCTTACCAACTCCGAAGCGAAAGGCCGTCAACGAGTGCCGTTGTCAAGACACCTCCCCCCCCACACCCTCTTCGCCCTTCTTTATCATTCGTCCACCGTCCTTCGTCTGTTTTGTCGTTTTAATTACCCTCCTCTTCAGCCTTTCATCCACGTCCGACTATTCAATTTTACCGGCCGGATTTCCAACAATACCACTCCTTCTATCGTGTCTTTATATGCAACATCGGCGACCATAGCAGCCACAATATTGCATCAGAAAGAAACAGGGAACGCGCTCGCCCTTCGAGTTGCGCGCCAGCCCGTCCACCACCAGTCCAGGCCCTAGTCTTCGAGCCGAGGTGCAAACGGCAACGCCGTTGCTAGTAACCAGAATGCTAACAGCCTCCCGCTCCCGCGCCTTGGCTCTGCCGTTCTTTGTGAAAGTCTGAAGATGTCTTACGGTTATTGAAGTTTCGAAGCCTTCAAATTTTGTCGCAAACTCTTACGCGCTCTTGGTTCGCCGCACTTCGGGGGTCGAGTGGCAAAAGTACAGGCCAGAAAGAAAAAATAAGAAAACGCCCCCACAAGGCCAGTCAATCGTGAGAAATTTTCTGACCGGGAATCGACAGGGAACAGACGCCAGGTCAGCCAAAGAGGACGGTACCCAGCCCCATTAGCACACACAACAGCACCCACTTGCACACTTCTAGACTCCACCGGCAATGCCCTCAAAACATGTCTAATAAATCGACCGCAGGTCGCTATGCCCCTTGCGGAATAGTTCTGGGCTGGAGGAAACCCGACCTTCCTCATCAAGGTTAAAAGGCTTATTCTTTTTTTACGCTTGGGGGATGCGCAACTGGGGGGGTTCAACAGTGAGGAGAGATGCACCATTCATATCTCTTGGCCTGTTCGACGCCCTATTCCTTCCGTATCTACAACGCAGATCAGCGTGCTACCCAATAGACATGTCGTCGCCCAATTGTTGACCGGCGTCCCAGAACGCCAACACCCATGCGAGAGAGGCGTTTCGCGTGTCGTCCTCGTGTGCACAAATAAGAAGCTCCTCGGTCTCCGGATCCCGCTCCCAAGGTGACGAGAAAAGGCCAGGAAGGGGAAAGTGCCACAAAAGGGGCACTGTCGTGGATGATCTTGAACGTTCTCGGGATGCCGTTCCGGGGGGGGGGGGGGGGGGTNCGAGCGGTCATTGCGTGCATCACGCAGCGGGCGTTTCTCAAGACGGCAGGAGACAGACAGGACGATGGTTGACAATGGAGAGCGTGAAGTATTCTGTACAGCGTAAGATACCTGACGAATGTAAGCAATTTGGACGGTGCTCCCTCCACACGCACGACACTATAACACTGGCCATGAGAACGTCAGAATGTGTCGGAATCTCGTCCAACAAGGGTCCCTATCGATAAAACAATTGCGATTATTCTTGCCGGCGGTGACGCCGACGACTTTGATTTTCTTTGTGGCACGTCGTTGCGACAGATAGCCATGGATAGACGGATAAGTGGGTAGCTCTCCTGTCTGTCTGTCCATCGTCGATATTTTGTACGTCGGTGCCATGAGTGCGAGCATTTAGTCACACCATCCGTCCCATTGGCTTGGTTCTACGACAGACAGTCGACTGTTTCTCAGCCGCCCCCCTGCCAAGGCTTTGATCAAAAGGATGGAGATCCGAGATAAGAGAAAGAATGTATCTCGGTGCGCGAGATCCAATGCCACGCGTATCAACAATGTTTGCGCGGGATCCTTCTTTGTCTTTCGAAACACAACTACTCCAACCACACAGTTTCGCACTACACCTCCACGTCGTAGTACAGGTGGGGGGCAGCTGCCCAATCAACATTACCTTTGGACGAAAGTCACTGAAATGCAGGATGTGACACACCTCATCGATAAGGAAGAGAGGAGGCAGGTCAAGGCGGGGGCACAAGAGCTGTGTACGAAATACATTTTCCATTGTCCTCGACTCCTATGTTCACAGAAGAGCATATTTGGCGCAAGTACATTTCAGCCCCAAAAGGCCTGCCGAGGACGATATCCACACGTGCAAAACTGTCGAAAGCTTTCGAAGCGTACTTTTTTTTAATTAACTACAGCGATGAGGTCCTATCCGGTCGCTTCTTTGCCAATGGAAAAGAAACCATGGGAGCTGGCCATTTCCCAGGCACGACTGTGACTCCATAGACAAAGTATGGCTCTGCATATCAACTGAAATGACGGTGCATGAGTATTCACACGCAATATTCAAAAACCATCTCGAAACCCCCGTTCGAGGGACGCACAAAGAAGTTGTCGAAACGCAGCCAGGGCCGCCTCATGGCCACAGGGATCCCGGCTCACACCCTCGGTGTATCGGCTCAACAACTTCAACATTCCTTTCTATTCTCGCTATGAGGCTTGAGGCTGTCCCAGAAATAAGCATAATGACTTCCCTCTCGTCCACCCGCTGCACCGCCGACCTCCCGGAAGCTTGGCAGGGTCGGACACGGTGGCGTACCAACAGCTGGATCTTAAGTGTTCGGATCAAAGCGAACTTGTTGGCATTCACCAACCCCCGGTTTTGTCCAATATCTGCTGCGGCAATATACGAGAGACAAACCCAAGAACACGTGCATTATGACATCGTCAGACTTGGGCTCGCTATCCGCCCGCAAGGTTCAGTAGCGCACGGTGAGCACGATGCTATAACAGACAGCGATGTAGGATGGACATCTTCCTGTCCTTACTCTCTCATCGTATTGCGGTTATCTTTTATTACCTGTAACTGAACAGCCTCGCCAAATCTCGCTTCTCATTGCCTTGCCTTTCGCATAATACTTTTCCATCATGGTACTGGCTTCCCTGTTTTCGTCATGATTTTCAATTCCTTTCGAAACACGCACGGAGCACGGGTCTACCAGCCCAAATTTCCCAGCCAGGGCCATGCGAGAGGCGACGCTACAACGCAATGGCGGTCATAGCCGATGCCTTCAGTTCCTTATATTTTGAAAAAACTGATGGCAGCGGTAGTGAATCGCGAATTGGCTTTCGCTCCGTCCTTTGCATCTCTCCCTAACTTGTTCTCATATTTCGTGCCGTGTGTATCTACAATTTTCAAAAACGTGTCAATTCTCAAACCAACGAGAAAACAGAATGTGCAAAGACCTCCTCCCCTTGGCCCAAGAGATCGCGTCTGTGCGGATCCGTGCGCGGTCGGTAGAGACAGCTGACAAGGGGAGAGAGAAAATGGTCAAAGACAATGGGGAACAAATGGCTGTCCTATTTTTACACGTCTCTTTTCAGTTCCTCGGTACGCTCTCCACAAAACCCTGCTGCCGTTGCACTGTGTCTCTCTCCTTTGTCGGTGCTGCGTGGTTTGGGGTATTCTGCATTGTTCTAGTCGATAAACGGCACGTTTCTGCACCTGCACCCGCACCCCGTACTCCGTACTCTGAGATGTTGCAATATTTGAAAATAAAGATGCTCTTGGGCCCTTTATGTGCGTTTCTATTTTTCGAGGAAGTGGTATAGCTTGCAGAACGGGCATTAGATATTGCATTTCTCAGCCTGGCATTCCACATTGGTTATGTTTTCTCAAAGCGACACAATACATACATACATAAATAAAAGAATACTGTCCACAGCAAACTGGTTTGGTTAGATTTTTATGTCCAAGGTATTATGTACTGTTCCACTTTTTTAATAATAATAATAGTAATAAACAATATAACCACCTTATCACCACGTCCAGTGGCCGGAGAGGACATAGTCGACTTGCGCACATTGACATACCATATAAATAGTGGAATCACCAAGGACAGAAAGCAAAAGAAAATATGCAATGAATTTTGGCATCGGAACCACCTACGCCGTGTTTCCACGCGTCATGACGGCATAACGTCAATGTCGTACGTAACAAAGAAAGCAATGAAAGAGTAAACAAAAGGAAAAAAAAGAGATAAACTCCTGTGCATGCGGTTCAACCCTGCTTTCCTATCCCATGCTGTCGCCTTGAGTAGATTTTGGCCAACTGCGTCTCCATTTTACTCGTCCATCTTGCCTTCCTCGTCCTCGCTAATGTGAATGTCAACGGCGTTCTCTGAAGCCGCATCCGCTCCGTTGTCTGACATGGTTATGGTATGAATCCGGTCACCGGCGGATTGCGCGTCCAGCTTGCGCGCCCAAACTTGTTGCTGGATGTCCTCCATGTTGGCCTGCGTCAGTATATCTGGCGGCGGCGGCGTCGGGGAGTCTGGATCGTCCTCTGTCAAAGCATGAAGGCCAGTCACGGGCACGGCTGTCGAGAGGAACGACATGTCGACGTCTTGGTGGTCGGCCGTGCCGAGGCTCATCAGGTCGGGGTCGCGCGCGTCCGAGCCTGTGGCAGTGGCAGTGTCGCCCAGTTCCAGCTCGTCCACATCGGCACCATCCGAGCCAGGTGAGTTGTGGTTGCCTCCACCCACAGACGGTCCGAAGCTCCAAGACTGCTGCGTCCATGACCCGCTCTCATGGTGGCTGCTGCCGGGGTACAGGTCGTCCATCTCCACGGACTTGCGGACGCCATTATCGAAGCGTCCCCTAGACCTATTGGAGGATTCACCAAAGTTGAGAAGACCGGTGCCCGAGCTGGCCGCGCCATATGCGTCGTCTTGTTCGTCACCAGAATCGACAGCGACCGCCTTGACACGTAGGCCACTTGCTGCACCCCGGGCCTTGCCGCGAGACGCTGAAGCAAGCGGAGGAAGATAGTCACTATCGGCATCGTCGTCATAGTCGTCGACCGTTGTCGGGCTGCTGAGACGGGCACCGCCGCCATTAGCGTCTAGCGTGAGAGAGCTGGTTCCACTGCTAGCCAAACCAGGACTTGCGCGATGCCGGCGATCCGCTGCGGCTCCTTTCGAGGCGCTCGACGACCCAATTAAGGAGGAGCCGGTGCCGAGACGCCGACCTTCCCCCAACTCAGACGCGTCATCATCGGAGGTGGCCATCTCTTGCGCAAACTTTTCGTCTATCTTGATGAACCGAGGGCCACCCAGGGGCACATCGGACCGACGGCGGTAGAACAGCAGATACGCGGCAGCGGAGACGACGCGGCTCGAGTCGTTCACCCTGGAAACGGACGAGTCTTATTTTGTTAGCATTTGCCATCAGAAGCTTGCGAGGACACAAGTCTGTGTTGTTGACATACCGTTGTATTCGTACCACTGGTGGTCGATAAAATTCTTGGCAAAGGCCGTGTAATGGCCGCCACCAAGGCCGCCCCAATGGTCGTCGACACCGATCAGGTCGTAAATCTCCTCTTTGCCGGTTTGGCGATCCAGCACCCGCTTGGTGATGTCCAGGCCTTCGACTGGGAAATCGACCCGCATATCCAACTTGTCGCGGCGCCATCCACTAGAACTGAACCGCTTCAAATGAACAACCAGGATATCCGGCGTCTTCCACAGATCGAACTTCTTGCTGGCACGACGGTGCTCCTTGCAGCGAGGGCAGTACCACATGTCATTTTCTGACAATATCTCCTCGCGCTCAAACTCGTCGAGGCACTCGTCGAGAGTCAGGCCCCGCTTCTTACGGCTGATGCGGTTACGCTTCTTCTCCTGCAGCTCCGGGTCGTCGACCACGGGGATCGGGTCCTCGAACGTCGGCTCGCCCCGCATCTTATCATCCGGGCCCTCTTTGCCAAACACGGCATCCCAACCTTCTGCACTCCAGTCGACCATGATGCCCTCGCCGAGGCGGATGAGCGGCGCGCTATTGGAGGACACGACCACGGCAGAGCCGTTAGAGGTAGAGGACGAAACCGGGGGCATTGCCGCGTTGTCATTGTCATTGTCATCGTCATCATTCTTGGCGTGATCGCTCTCACGTTCACCCTCCACGGATTCCAAACGCGGCGGGCGGTTGGCAGACGCTTGCGGATGACGCTGACGGCGCTTGGCGCCTTTAGGGCCACGCGCCTTGTACTGCTTCAGTGCCCTCCGGCGGGCGGGTCCGCTCTTGGGAAGGTCGACTGGGTGGCTACGCATGCCAATCGGAGGCGGCACGGCCAAGTCTTCATCGTCCGACTCCTCGGTCATCCGCGTCACTTCGGCTGAGCGCGCACTGTCCTCATCGTTTGGCGACGCATCGCCGCCCTGGCTGCTCTCCTCGTTGTCGGTTCCGGCTGCACTCTCCCAGGGTCCAGGGCTGTCCATATCCCGGTCAACAGACGACCGTTTGGCCGCTGCGGGCATGCGAGAGCGGAGGTTCGGATACAGCTTCTCATCAGACGAGCCAGACCACTTGATGGGAATCAGATTGCTTGTGTCATCGTAATAGCCCATCTGGAATAGGTTCTGGAGCTCGCCAGCCAAGAACAGACTGGGTTCAGTAACCCACCGTGGACGGTGGCGGTTGAACTTGTACAGAATTTTGGACGACGCAGAGCCCGCCTCTGCCTGGTCGGCAGTGACTGCCTCCGCGGCCGAGGCGTCCTTCATGGTGATGTCAATCATATCATCTTCGCCTTCGATGGATTTGGCAATGACCTTGCTGTCGCTCGCTGACTCAACATCCGAACCACTGGTGACAACAATGTCGTTATCCGTTGCATCTGTGGCATCGTCCCCGCGACTCCCATCGCTACTGCCGTCTGGGGTGGTGGTTGTGCTGGTGGCTGTGCTCGGGGAATGGGCCGGATTCTCTGCCTTGGAAAACTCCGCCCAGGTCGAGTACGACGCCACCTTCTCCAAGATTTTGCGGCGAATGACATCCTCGTTTCTTGCTTCCTCGGGGGTGACAACAATGAAATGTGGCGGGCAGGCGAGTCCAGTAGACTTTGTGTAACGGCGCCTGTGGTTGGGATCAAAGCGATGGATGATGGGAACAAGAAGGCTCTTCGCCATGGGGCTGTCCCAGGACGGAACCTCCGGCTCAATGTCGTCAATCAAGAGCATGGACCGCGGCTTTTTCCGGGGCATCTTGCTGCCGCTGTTATTGGTCGGTGTGCGCTCCACCTCGTAGACCAGCACAGAGTCGTTGGCTGCCATCTCTTCCGAGACGCACTCAAAGTCGTCGTAGACGCGGATGATGTTATCGCGAAGTTCTTCTGCGGCCACAAGACGGTCCGCTGGTACTCCGACACGCACACTGATAAACTCCTTGAAGGAGCGCACGCTGCTGGTCTTATCCAGCTCGATACTTAGGTAGACAGGGCGGTCGTTGAGCGGAATGAACCGAATGGTCTTGGACCACACGTTTTGGATCGGCAGAGGCAGTGTCAAGTTCGTGAAAGGGTCAAAGGTAATGCTGACCTTTTGACACACGGGGCAGATCAGGGTCGACTTGTACATTCCGGTGAAGAGATCGGCAATGATGGAATCGTCACGGCGCTTCGTGATATCCCAGACCTTTTCGGCCATCTCCCGGATCGCGACAGGGTTGTTAATCATCTCGTCGGTCGAGTCGGGCTTCTCTATGTAGGGCTTTTTCTTGACACGGCTCAGGTCCTCCTGGAGACCATCTAATAAGAAGCCGAGGAACTCTTGCGAATCTTGTTGGCCATAGCCAGCAAAGGCGGGAGCATACCGGCCAATGGTGGACTTGAATTGCCGCGGTGCGATAGACATGGGGACATTATCTCTAAAGATCTCTTCCAGCAAAAATGCGTATGCATTGGCAACGTTGCCACCATGGCCGAGCGGGTTCGAATGGTTGGTCTCGGCCTCGTTTTCGTGGACAAGGAAGTACTTGGTGAGCTCCTCCACGCTGCGGAGGCACTGCAAGGCGGCGTTCATGTAGCATGTGTTGCCGAGGTTGCCAAGACCAACGCAACCCATAGTGCGCCCGGACTTCTGCTTCGTTCGGCCCCGGGTCACAGGTCCGACATGGCTGGGACTGCTGCGACCGCTGCTTGCTGCCGTGCTGTTTGCGCCACCTGTTCGGGAGGCGGATGTGTTGGCAAGGTTGCCGACGGCAGGCAATGTGGAGAAGGCCGTGTTGGCCTTCCCCTTGTCCTTGCCAGCCGTCTTGGGGTTGTACGTGGACACCCAGAGGTTGCGTTCGACGTTTTCGTCGAGGACGATTGTCTGGTCGACGGTGATGGAGATGAAGGCAAGGGTCTGGCGGCCGTTGTACTTTTTGTCGTGGGTGAGGTCCTTCACTTGGGAGAGCTGTTCACGCTCGACATTGGGCTGGAGCATCATAAAGTCAGTGACTTCCAGGAGCAGCTTAGACCACGAGTCCTGCGGGTTGGACACTGCACTGGCGTCACCGCCCTTGCCCGTCAGTCTCGGGGAGTCGGGTGGAGTTGACAACGATGGACCAAGACCGGTAGTCGCCGCAGTGCGGGCGGGGGTGGACGGGGTGTTGCTGGCTGCTAACTTCCGTGGTACGCTCCACATACGCACGTGGCGCTCCATTGGGATATGCAGGAGCGTCTTGGCTTTGCGAAGGAATCCTTGGATATTATAATTGCTCGTGCACATGATGACGGGTGCCGCCTGGGCTGCATCCGGCACCTCCTTGGTATGGGGAATGGTGCTCACGGCAGACCATAGGCGGTGCAGAGTGAAGACGGGAGGGTGTAACTCGTACTGGACGTTCGGGATCATCGAGTTCGGCGCTGTGTTGTGTGCAACGCGAATGATGGGTAGTTGGCCTTTGGCCAGGCCGTGCCACGAGACGAGGAGATCCCACGCTTCCTTGGAAAAGTATTCAAAGTCCTCCTGGCTGGTTCCAGCCTTTAACCGGACAGTCTTGCCGCCATCAATGTCATCAACGACACCGTCTGCAATGTCAGAGTTGTCGACTGGACCAAGTGAGCCCTGGGGCACCTCTTTGGCGGCCTTGGCCGCATCGCCGCTGCCGAGCGCCTGTGCCCGGGCAAGCCACCTGCGCGATACAAGGTACGCGGCGGTGCCCTCTTCCAACTCTCCCGTATTAAAGTCCTTGACAAGATTTTCGATGGTGCTTATCTGTTCTTCGATCGGGGGTACGTCCGTCTCGACGTGGGCAGCTTCCGTATCTGCAGCGTCTGCCTCGTCGCTGGGTGCTGCAGTCGCCATTTCAACGTCGTCTTCAGTGGTGTTCGTCCGCAACGGTGACGAGGAGCTGGGCTGTGGTGGGGATGAGTTGGCTTGGAATTCAGAGGCTGATTCGATGTTGTCGAATGACTCCTCCATGTTGGATGCAGTGCGCTTCAAGGGCGAGCTCGATCGGTGAAAAGTTTCGTCGCTGGCGCCGCTCATAATTATGGCGCGGTGAGAGATAGGGACAAGCGGCGACTGGCTGCGCTCGTAGGACCGTTGCTGCTGCGCGGGTCGGCGAGAGTGAATGGAAGGTAGCGAAAGATGAAGGGGTGAGGCGGCCGAAGCGTTCGTTTTGTGCTTCTGGATCTTCCGACGATGGCCAATGGTGTCAGCATCCGTTGGCAAGGCAGAGGTGGCGGCTGCGCGGCGCGTAGCTGGACGACTGGACCTGGTCTTGCGGATGTTGGCAACGCTGTTCTTGGTCAGCAGCGTGGCACTGGCGGCAGTGTTATTACCGGTGGCGACACTAGGAGGCGCCGGCGGGCTTGAGGTGTTGGACGCGGCGTCGAAATCGTCGGCCTCTGCGTCAGGGGTGGTTGTCTCGCTGTCGTCGTGGTCGTCGTTGACGTAGCCAAGCGCAGCCGTCCGTGTGGGCGGCAGGGACACAGAGCCGGCTCGGCTGTATGTGGGAGTGGTCGGCCCCGACGAGGCGGCGTTGGAGGCGGCAGAAAATGAAAACGTGGGGTTTAGGTCGCTACTGTTGCCGTCGTCGTTTTCGTCTTCGTTGTCACTGTCGTGCTCGTCACTGCTGTCGTCCCCAGTGTGGTGGGTCCTATCCGTGCCCTCGCGCTTGTCGGCGTCGTCGTCGGCGTCGACGTCCTCCCTCTCTGTAGACGGGAGGATGGCCTGCAACTGCTGATCCCGGCTGCCGTTGTGTAAATCGCCAGGCCGTCGGTGCTGTTGTCGGGTCTGCCGGATGTCGACGGGACGGTGAGAGGCGACGGGAAAAGAGAGTTGGTGTAGCGGGGGTTGTTCGTCCTGCGGCTCCCCGGGGTGTTGATGGGACTGTGGGCGGGAATGGAGAGTATTGTCGTCGCCTCTTCTCGACGGGCGTGAAACCTTGCGTTTCTTTAGGGAAGACGTGATGAATGTGAGCTGCCCGGGCAGCTCGAGGCAGACTGTCTGAAATGGGCAAATAGGACAAGTCGAAGCGGAAAGAGACGCTGGCGCGGAAGGGGCGAATGAAGGAACAGGGGAAGGAAGGAGACGAGAAGGAAGAGATTTCGAGGTAGTCGTGGCGGTGATGGAGCACGAGCAGTGTCTTTTACCATGCGAAAAAGAACGGACTGGGCGTTTTCCCTCTCTTAGTGCTGTTTTTTATGCCTTTCATTCCCTGGTCAGTCCCGCGCTTTCTTGGTCGGTGGCCAGGCTAGTCTTTAGCCCTCCGAATTTTCTTGACAATGCGAGAATGCCTTTTTCACATTGGTGGCGGTTGTTTTTGTTCCTTGGTATAGCTGTTCCTCTTGTTTCGTTCCAGCGCCGTCAGATTACATACAACTTTTGTCTCGAGCTCCCTCGCTCTTTCCCTTTGTAGTTGTGCGGAATTTCTTACATTGTTTGGCTGAACAGTGCCTCCCCCTCCGCTGTAGTGTTGCTGCCAAAGTGCTCTTATGTTTCGTGGGCTCTGGTGCCTGCGTTTTGTTCCTGGCAAGATGCTGTAATAATACTGGTCGATCCCTGTAATTTGGTGCTCTCTGCGGCAAGGTGCACAGGTTCAAGAGAACCACGAAAGGGTAGACGGCAGCAGATGCAGTAATGAACAACAAGTCAATAGAGTCAATAAATCCAATGGAGTCAATAGAATTATTTATTGTTCAGGAAAGGGAGGTCGATGACAATTTGAAGCCGATATACGGGCGGTGTGAGAAGGAAGGCATGACAAGCCAACAGACAGCACGTAGGACATATGTGATTCGTGCCTTCCGTGCTAATCCTAATGCGATGCATTGTGAGCAGGCACTGGCCATAGGCGACCAAATGCTACTGTGTCGCTTTTTCCTACAAGCTTTTACAGCTTGGCATACAATTCCGAATATGAATGTGCTGTGCCCTGGCTCCTGGGTAACTCTTCATCAAAAAAGATGCAAGGAAATGTTCTTATTGATACTGAACGGTGCGAGAATAACAATGACTTGATTCATATGGGCGAGGAAACTTTTCAGAGAAGTGGCGTAATGGTGGGGTGCTAGTGGGCTCTTGTGGGCTGTTGTGGGCCTTGAAGGCCTATTCAATGAAAGGGCGGGGTGGTTGACCAAAAAAGTAGCGAAGAAGAGAACAATCGAATAAGCAAAGAGCCCAGTCCATCGCATCCATGAAATAGGTAGTAGCCTGGCTACGGCTGAAGAAAATTCCCTGAACTATAAGGCAGACTGCAGACTGGCATACAGGTTCCCAGGATCACAGCTCGTACACAATCGGTTTGCCACGACGCAGCTCACCCAGAATGCTTGAGCTGAAAGAGGGCGCGGCTTAGCGGAGTGATTTGCTGGGCACGATTTGTGCCGGCAACAGCGCCGGCTAGGCCCTGCGCGTGACCGCCTTTGCAGGGATTGTACCAGGCTAAAGCGCTCTATTCTGACTGCACAGTATCTTACAGTCTGCCTCGACGTGGCTGGCTTTTGCCTACCGCTGATCGGTCACGCCCTGGAGGTTGGGCTTCACGTTGACTCAATCGACGCCATGATGTGACAAAACGAAGGCATGAATTAATCTAGAAAATTCCAATAACATCTTAACTAACGTCCAGTCCCCAAGCACACGGCTTCTTGTCCCCTGCCTGGCCCTCCCGGCTGTGCTAAAGTCAGCCCTTTCAAAGCTCTCTTACGTCCCTGCCCTAGAGCTTCGCGTCAACATCTAGGAACTCGCTGATATCTGTTATCGCGCGAGGACCACCCGTAAGGGCTACGCTCATGCGGAACTCGCGGATGTTCTTGATTTGAACAGGTGTTGTACCGTTGATGGCCTTCTTGGGTCCGCTCTTGTGCTTTTCCTCGGTCTTCTCTGCGCCTCTGATCGCCTTGTGATACTTGGACAGCTGCTTCCACGCGTCCACAGCCGCCTCGATCTTGTCTGCGGCAACGCTCAAGGTGTTTGTGAGGTAGTCTTTGAAGCTCTCCTCCTCTTTGGCTTCGTGATACTCCGCAACGCTCAAACGCGCCTGCAGATCCGTAGTCGCCTGAGTGGCAGCCTTCTCGCCAAGGCCGAGGTCCTTAACCAGGTCCGAGATCTGCTTCGTCGTCACATCGCTCGTCGCTTGTGCCACTAAGTGCACCGCGAGCTTAGCACGCGTCTTCGACTCTGGGTGAATGTAATAGTTGAAGAATTCAATCATGTCAGCCTTGGTGACAAGCTTGATTTCTTCGGCGTCTCTTTTGGCTGTGTTTTGAGACGCGTTAGCAACACCCAACCAATTCCAAACAAAAAAAGAAAAGAGAACAAGGGATACCGAAAATGGCTAGGAATGGGCTGTTTACGGACCATATTCAAAGTCGTAGAACTCATTGTTAATTTGCACCCAGTGCTTCGATGTCTCTTGGTAGAGATTCTTCGACTTTTCGAGACGCTTGGCGATAAGGCTGCGCTTGTGTCCTTCAAAATCCGAGTCCGACATCTTCTTCAGAGTCTCCGCGTACTCCGTCAGGAACGAATCGACACGCTCCTCAAGGTACTGGGGAATCTTCTCGCTCTGCACCAAGAACCGGAAGCCCATGGTGTTGGTGCCGGAGCGAGCACCGCTGAACACAACATAGCCGAGCTGCTCCTTTGTCCGCAACTGATCCCACGCCCGCTCTTGCGTAAGCTGGTCCAAGAGCAGTGTGCGTGCACGCGTCGTGCGGTCACCCCTATCACCAATATGCAACACATATTCGAGAGCATGATTAACGTTCTCCTTGTCTTCTAGCGTCTTTTCAAAGACATAGTTGCTTCCACGGGGAAGGACAACCTCGCGCCAGATGGGCCACTGCGCACGAGGCAGGGCCCGCGGCCGGAGCGTCGACTCGATCATGTCCGTCAGCTTCAAGGCGTCTTCCTTGTACAAGTTGCCGTGGACATGAACCTCCATGTGAAGCTGTCCAAGCAGCTCCTTGGAGAAGCGGCGCATCGACTCAGCCGTAACGCCCGGCAGTTCTTGGGCAAGTTCCTCGACTGTGTAGGCAAATGGCGATGTCAGCCACGACAAATAGTTGGACAACAGGTAGTATGGCTGTTGGAAGCCGTAGTTACGTAGCGCCCTGGTGGCCCGTTCTTTGATGTTAGCAAAGCGGTCGTCTTTGATATCCAGATCGCGCATCGTGATCAACACTTGTTCCAACAGCACCGGCAGCTTGTCGTTGTATCCGGAAACTTCTATAACCAAGGCGCGGTGCTCCAGCGAAACATTGTACAAAAGACCTGCCAGGTCGGCATCGTACGAGTACTCTTCAAGGGCGTCACGCACTAGCTCGGTGAAGAGGTTGGTCTTGATGTAGTTCTCCGCAACGGAGAAGATGATGGGGTTCTTCATGCTGACTGTGAGCGTTCCCTTTGGCACCCAAAACGTGTCGTCTTTCTTGAACCATGTCCGCGCCAGAGCATCGTTGCGAATAATACGGGGCGCGGGCGCAGGCTCCTTGACCTCCTTCTTTTCGACCTCTAACTTCGTTGGGACGAACAGGTTCTTATGTGGCAGAAAGAGGTTGGCGATGCGGTTGGCCTTTGTGACCGAAAAGGCCTCTTCAATAGCCGCAACAAGATCAGCAGGAATTTTCTCTTCCTTATACTCGGTTCCATACCACTTCTCTTTCTTGTCCCAGTCGCCGGGGAACGTGCGCGATGTCACTGTGATTCGAAGGTTGTCCGGCCGCAAGCAATCGATCGTACGCTGGATGAGGCTGGGTTCGAATTTGCGGAGACAATTCATGCCGCTCAAAAGACGTTCACGAGGTAGAGGGCGTTGCATGAGGGCACTAGTCTTGCTTGTGAACCTGCTTGCAGGGGTTTGTTGCTTAAACTTGAAATCCACGTCCGCCATGCCCTTCGTCTCGTCAAAGATCCACTCTTGAGGAGGGCCCTCACGTAGAAGCGAGACGTATTGGAAGAACACCTTGATCACCTCCTTGTATTCTTTCAGGCCCTCTTCGGTCAGGCGAATTGTCACCTCGAAAATACCGGGCGTGCCTGCACAGACGGGATACATGCCAGCTCCGAGGCCGTTCGCCCAGCCTTTCGATTTGATATAGGACATGATGCTACCAGGGCCTTCGTGCCCGATCAGATGGCTGACATATCGGCTTGGCTGCGAGTCGAACAGAAGCGTCTCGTCTGGACACGGGAAGCGGAGGGTTAATTCTCTCGAGTCCATGACCGGCTTGACAAACGTTTGGAGACCAAGATGCTCTGGACTGTATGGAACCACATCGGTCCACTCATTGGGCGCAAGATGCTTGTTGGGGATGGCAGAAAACAGCTCTGCGGTCCACGTCTCTAGAGTATCAAGGGGCTCACGACCCAAGATAACTAGCTTCATCTGATTTGCAGAGTAGAACTTGTCATGGAACTCCATGAACTTCTGGCGTACATTGATGCCTCGGGCCTCGGGCTCGATTTTGAGAACATCCAGATTGCCAGTGCTGAAATGACAAAACGGGTGTTTCGGGTTCGTCAGTGACTTTTCTAGCTGGTGAATTCGCCATTGGTCATTTTGCAAGTTCTTCTTGTTTTCCGAATCCACGGCGCGAAGCTCCCGATCCACAGTGGACTCGAGAAAGAGAGGCTCGATGAAGAACTGCGCAAATCGGTCCAAAGCGCCGTATAGAGGAGACACAGTTTCGTCGGCATGCGGCTTCGCAGATACGTCGAAGAAGTAGTTTGTAGACGTCGATGACGTGTATGCATTGGAGCTGCCCGAGTTTGACGACAGGTATTGGTTGTAATTGTTCTCCTCCGGGAACTTTTTCGTACCCATGAACAATAGCTAAGCAGACCAGTTAGTAAACCAATTATAAATAAATGATGGAGCTATAATACTCACATGCTCGACAGCGTGGGCCGTGCCGGGCATGTCATTATCATCACTAAAATTGCCAACTCCAACGTCTAGCGACGCGCTGGCCTTGTCGGTCTCGGCGTCATGCACCAGCAACGCCTCAAGGCCATTTTCCAGCTCGATAACTCTGTACAGCCGATTGTCAAGAGACGGTTTGTCGAGGGCTTCAGTGACCAGTTTCACAGCTGGTGCTGTCGGCTTGTCGGTGACGTGTGGCATTGTTGATACTGTTGCCTTCCCGCCTGA